CGTGTCTGTGACCACCAGAAAAGTGAATTGTTCCTCACAGATACAGAACCAAACCTCGCCTAGTGTAAGCAGGGAAGCAGCCAGAGACTGTCATTGGGCACCTGGGAAAGTTGGGCTCTTTCTGGCTCTATGTCCCAACTCCTATAAATAAATTTATTCACGCAGAGGGTTTTACACATGACTGTCAGGAAAGCCTGGTTAGCCTGTAAGGGGGGGAAGATGCTGTGCTGGTACCGGAGAGCCTCCTGAGGTCTCTTCCCACCTGCCCTGGTTTAGATTTTATGATACTGAAAAGCCGTAAAGATGACCAGCATTACTGATAAATTATCACGTTTCACTTCTTCAACGTGAGATTTATCTTCTGATGGAAAAACTGGAAAACCTTTGCAGACAAACGGCAGAATTCTCGGTCTGAATGCTTCTGGTGCCGAGCTGTAGATGCCGAGGCTGACAATTACAGGAGCAGAATGCTGCGTTACGGGGGGATACAGACTGGTGCCGAGCCTGTGTATCAGCAACGTACAGAGCACCTGCCCTAGCAGCGACAGAGGCAGGGCAGGGCAAACTGCTTAGGCTCTGCTGGTAAGAGAAACACCAGCCCGTGCTGCCGCCCATTCTGTAATTCAGGTAGCCCTGTGGCTCCAGGGGTGGCCACCTCTTGGAGAACAGAGCCAGCAGCGGGCGAGGACGCGCGGGGAACGGCGCGGGGGTCTGGCAGGGTCTCCACGTGGCAGCCACCGAGCCACAGGTCGTGTGCGGCCCCAGAAAGAGTCAAGTGAGCTGCCCCTCTTCACTCCTGTCCTTGGAGAATCACCACTGCTGTGTCGCTATGCACTACTAAGTACTGTGCAAGTGTCTTCCAGAAGCACATGAGAATTTTCCCAATTAACTCTAAAACAGCCCCACCCCCATATTCACTGTCATCTTTTAAATTCCAAAGTCCTTACAAGCTTAAGGAAGATGAGAACGTGAGATCATCGCCTGGTTGTTTACCACAGTTAATCTTATCAGAAGAGAGGAAGTTTTTAAATTACCCTTGAACTCTTAAACAGATGACAGATACCGGCAATCTGGCATGAGCTGCAATATGTTCAATTACACTGGATATGTTTTCCTTCTGCCTTAACTGCACGCAGGACCACATTTTTATTTTAAGCCGATGTTATTTCCACAACTAGAAAGTTAAAACATTTCATTTAGTATCTCCAAACTACTTACCTAGTTCTTCACCACCTTTCTTTCTGGCAACAAAAGGTAACTCTCTATCCTGGATGCCAAGTCTTTCATTTGGAAATGGAATGCATAAAACAATGACTTGAACAGGAAAGTCTCGCTCATTTTAAAGACTTAGTGTTCTAATTTTATATTTTTTGACTACTGTATAGGATATTATGAGGTCACTGTCATCAGAAATGGAAGAGAGAAGACCAATAAACTTACAGTATGTGAAGGTGCAAGAGTGATTTTTTCAACAGCTACATACAAAAATGAGCGATGAAACATTAGAAACACCCAGATATGGTATTCTGGACTTTCAGAAGCTATTCTAGAACCAGTAACTTGATTGTTTTGAAATGGCATAAAAAGGGAATCTGCTATATGTGTTATTTATAAGGAATATTTTTCACACACTTAAACTACTGTTATGAAATAGGAGTCCCAAATCAGTTTGCCTAACAGCGAAGAGCTACTCCCAAAGAAATCCAAACCAGGTACAAGATACAGCAAAGGCAACCCCAGTTGTGCACAGACTGACTTATGTATGTTTAACGCTTAGATCACCAGCCCTCCTTAGCTCCACTTCACGGTGCAGACAGAGCCAGACATGAACATGAGTTCAGTAATCCCCTCCAGGCTCCTTTCCATTGCCAGCAGCGCGTAAGGAGGACTTCAGCGTCAGAGCGTAGTTCGTGACAAAAGAAGTCGGGCACGTTTCTGTACCTTTTTGAGACCCAAGGATTTAGACATTCAGATTTCTGCAGTATCAGAACTGGGTAAAATCTACTTCATAAGTAAGTTACAGACTATACAACGATGTTCTTCAAGGTTATTCAATTCATCTTTTCAATCAACGACAAATTGAAGTTAAATAGCCTTTCACAAACGGTATGTCATTTAATAAACTTAGGAATCTTTAGGGCTGATTTGTAAACTTACTGACCAAAGCAAAACTAGAACTGGAAACTAGAATCCTGCTTTTTGGATTTTTCTCTTAATTGCATTTTATTTGCTGCTGAAAGGAATGCATTCTGTATTCCACTTATTAAGAAACTTGCTCTTAAAAATCTAGACCCATGGTGTCTAGAGACAGCTGTGAAGTTTGAATTTTGGTATAATTCAACCCAATTATTTTTACTAATTTGAAAGCAACAAAGTACCTCCCCCCAATGAACTGTTCCCATGGAATATGGATTTTAAATTGTGTGAAAGGAAGATACCTGTTCTTCACCAGGTTTGGTTTTTTTTTCCCTTTATAACCAGGCAGTTTGTTGTCCCTGTATTGTATTTGAGCAGAATGACTCCGCTTGATATGATGTGTGTTTCATCTTATAAATAGAACAGGACAGGGAGGGAGAAGGGAAAGACCAAGGAATTAATCCCGTTGAAACACGAGAAAATTGGCCTAGTAGGTCACTGGAGTACCACACGATTAAGAATTTAAGATGGGTTATGAGACTTTCCTAGTACATAACAATGATATGCATTATATGAACACCTGCTATGCCAAGAAATCAGGTTTGTCAACAATGCAGAAGGATTTATATGAACTTGGATACATATTGAAAAAAATCACGTTACAGTTTTTTCACATCTTCATTCACGTTAAGACAACTGAAACCCTCTGCCGTGTTGTGGGCTAAGAACGTGACAGGATTTGAACTGTTTTAAGAACCCATCTGTCTCATCCTATATTTCCAACGAAGTTTTTATAAGCTAGGAACTTAAATTCTCACATACGACTTAAAATTTTAATCACAATTTCTAGAATTTCCATTATCTCCGTTATCAAATGATAATGATTTGTAATTAGCACATGACCCAGTATTATACATTTTATTTCTGACAGCCTTCAGTCTATCAATAACGCTCGATTCTGCTGTAACACAGTGGCTTGTTTTTTTCATATTTCATAGCCCAGTGGCAAGGGCACCACACTTCCAGTTAGTGACTTCTCTTAAAAACATATATTTGGATATTAATTACAACCGTCAGGACACTTAGGTTTTCACTGAAGAGAAGTTTAAATGCAGTACGTTTATTTAATGACATCTGGCAGACTGTGGACCTTGTGAGGACAAAAGAGGATCTTGAAATAGGAGGATATCAAAACTAGATTTTGGCAATATAGAAGACGTATTGTCCATGTAGTTCTGTCATAAGCTTTAAAAATACTCTTATTAAATAAGTTTTTCCTTCCTTAAGACCAGATAATACATGAAGCCAGTAAGAGTCCAAGGGTCAGAATCTTCTTCAATTCTTACTTATTCTCTATGAGCTTTTTTTTTTGGCTTTTCTTCGTAAGATTCTCCATACTCATTCACTCTGCTCTTATCCACAGGATAAAGCCTGTCAGAAAAAACAAATGATTGGTGACGATATTGTCTGCTACCTGAAGGAATTAATCAGTTCTGCTCCTTAATTCTAAAAGTGATTTTTTTTCTCACCATATTCTTTATTCCCATTTGTGGCAAAACCAACAGTTAAGATTAGCTACAGACACATCAGCTTCTTCACATTAAGACAGAACCAGTTTTCTCATAAGAGGGCCTCTTAAGAGATAGCTGAGCTCTCCTAAAGCTCGGCTGGAATATTCCTCAAGCAATCCAGGATACCTCTCAAACTTGAAATCAGTGCCCAGCCCCTATCAGAAGCTGTTGAGCTCTTAACTTATAGAAAAATACCCTGAAAGGGGACCTACTTTACTACACTTATGCACAATTGTATAACCCCAAAACAGAAGTCTGCATTTAGTATTAATGGTTAGTTATATGTACATATCCATATATTCTGATATAATGTGAACTTGGCTTAAATTTCTCCTTTGCTCCACATATAAATACTTATTCTTGGGAGCAGGAATACACTTCCTGTAGCTTCACTTACGAACAATATTTCAATGATTACTGCATATAGCCTTCTTCCCCATCTGATTTTAGTTACTTAAAGAATCCAAAACTCGCCAGATACTCGACTTACAAGAGAACTCGATAACTTGTGTTTGGAAACTAGATAAAGAGGAAAGCAGACCAGGGCAACCCCTCATCAGAAAACATCCTCCTCTAGTGCCTCGCAGAGCAACTCGGGAAGCATGCCTCAGGTACTGAGCATGTGTAGGCATGCAGCCCCTCAGCAAGGGTTAGAAGCCCAGAATTCCTAAGTGGGTTCGTGAATACAAGCTTAAGAACTGCTCTCCTTCACCTTACTTCAAATATTCATGTCTCGGGATAATTTTTTTTGTAACTGGCAAAGGTGAAACTATCTGCTGAAAAGCAGGACTACTGTTCTGGGGAGGGAGAAGGGGTAACTTATAAAAATTCTTTTAGTGCTGTGGGAAGAGGAATTTCTTGACTGATCTCTTAGCATGCTAACAATCGTCCAGGAATACTGTCAGTTATGGGAAAGTGCTTTTGATCTTATTTGTATTGAGATCTCCTTTTCAGGATCCCCTGCTCACCATTCCCTTCACTAGGCATATACACAACTTACCCAATTATCCAGATCATACCACACAATACTATATAATATATATAATATTATGGTATAAAAATTCTGCTTAAAGTCTATCCCAAACTATTTAACAGTTCTTTATAGCAATAAGACTGCAACCGTCTACAGCAGCACTGCAAAAACTCTGATGAATGTTAACGAAAGGCTTACCATCTTTGGTAAAGATAGACCAGGAACACAACATCATCTCTAAAGCACGCCAGCCTATGAGATGTTGGCATAGTGATGATAAAAGCAAATATATCATCAATAAATGTGTTGAACGCCTACAAAAAAAAAGAAAAGTATACTTCAGTTGGCTGTGAAGAAAGGAAGTAATCTGTCATACAAAGCTACAGGAAACAGGCTTCCTCAAACGTTATTTTTCAGTAGGAACACATACTACTTCCATTAACTTAAGAGTTATGCTGAAAAGCTAATTAATGCAAACTTCAAAGCGCTTTCTTTTAATGAAGACCATACAGTCTACTGCAGACCACACTGTTACAGTTACAAGTAAAAAGGAAGTAGGACTACTTCAAGTAAGTGAGAGTATTGTTATGTGAGCAGAAAAACATGGATTCAACTTCAGTGAAATATTTAAAAGAAACCAAAAAAATCCCAAACATTTATTTATTCATTCCTCAAATGATTTAAGATCGACAAAATGTCAGTTCACTTTAATTTTCTGTGAGAATTTGAAATCTGTGTAAAAATTTATTCATTTACCGCTCCCAAGAACATTAACTTGACAGACTTGGAGAGATCTTAACATTTTTTCAGTGCTCTCCTGGAAGCTATCACCCATCTCTTATTCGAGACATAATTTTCTACACCATTTCCACTCATCTAGGCACACTACAGGTTCTGTTTCTGAAGCGATAATGAAGTATTTTCTCACTACTTTTTCATGGGTGAGGGAGCTTCAACTCTCAGATACCTGCTGGGAAAGCAATGCAAACAGGCTCCAAGCATGCAAAGGCAACAGCATTTTGTCAGAGAAGGTACAGAAAGTAAACAGAAGGGCAACTCCTCTGGATCCAGCTCTAGCCTACAGGGAGGACTAGGTATCAACTCTTACAGTGCACCAGCTCTAGTACCCATGTGGCGCAATAAACTATTTCAACTCACTAAAAGCAGCAGGAAACAAATCCAGCAAAGAATATTCACTGTGGGGTTAACAAATGGAGTTGGTGACGTGGCTTCTCCTTTCAATATTAGCAAGCTGTACATTAATCTATACCATAATAAGGGGGAAAATGATTCTCTAAGCAGAGAAAGACTCACTGCAAAACGAACCACTGTTTCTGTGATGAAACAAAGTACCAGCAGAAGATGGAGGTGTTGGGCAGGAGAGAGTTCTGATTATTTACAACAGGAAAGCTCTTTCTGGCAAGTCAAAACAAATCCATCACTCTGAAGTGATCAAACAATACGGATGGCAATTCTCAAGCCTGTGCAAAGAAGGTTTTCCGTGGAACAAAAAAAAAAACCTTGGCAAGTTGGAAAAGGCAGTCTTTCCAAGCCAACACCCAAGGGAGTGATCCTACAATGATGAAAGGAAGAAAAAGCTACATGCTCCATCCTTCAGGCACTTAGGCAGTCCTAACAAGCCAATGAAACTGAATGCATCAAGGCAGCCCAACTAATAGTATTTAGTGTAGCTAGGTTTTTTTTTTTTTTTTGAGATTACCTCATCTGAAGGTGCTCCTCATAAAAGTATAAAGGGAATAAACATAAAGACTATAGAAACTGGAAAGTTAGAATAATTTTCATTTTTGTCAAGGTCCTCCAAAACAGGAAAGGTTCAAATTAAGCAAAAAAAATCAAAGCTCTCCAAAACAATTGCAGATGAGACCTCACACTATTCTTTCCACTCATCAAAGTGCAGAAGAGAGCAACCAACTTTAAAACATCCTCTAGGAAAAAGTAAATTACCCACTCCAAAGCCCAGTAAGTTAAACGATTAAAACCATCATATACTTCTTTCCACATACACGAGTCTTTGTCGTGGGTAGCCTCTGGCATCTTAACAGGAACCATAAATGCTCTGTAGGAAAAGGCCATTCGGCAAGAGAATTCTACTCCTTTAAAGGTTACATGCTTGAATATTCTCCCTTTGTTGTCTATTTAACTGCTGATGTCTCTGCTCAACTATTGTATTTTGTTGCTGAAGTAAAATTCTGAAATTACTTCACTTATGTTCTGGAGAATTGTAATACATCATCACAAAGAAAGAATAAATGAAAGCATTTATCAGCGGAAGCAGAAGAAAAAAGGACACATGTTGACGGCATCAAGGTCTTGGTAATTCCAGCACATCCAGCCAGGATTTCTCAGGACACAGTGATCAGGAAAACAAAGAACAGTACAAAAATCCTAATGACTTGGAGAGGTGGGAAAGGATAGAGTCAGCTCTTTAGAGGTACAAGAACAAAACCAGCATGTAGTTGCTCGTTGAGAAAGAAGGTAGGAGACAGAGGAACTCAACAGTGGGTGTCCCTTGTCCTCCACATCAGCGCAAGGAATCCTGAGTGGGATACTTGGGCACATCCATCTTGGTGCCGGAATACTACACAAACCACTTGGACACACAAGTGGATGTTTGTGGCTATGCAGGTATCAAAGGGTTAACAAGTTAATTTTGTTGTGAAACAAACTCACCTCCACCTCCTCCACGGCCTGGTGATAAATTTTGCTACAGCACTGCATTATTTTCTACAAGGGCAGTCTAGGCAGCGGGGACACCCCAGCACAGCCCTTCTTACACCACGTATCAACCCACCACACATTTGTCACTACACTGCCCAGAAACTCAGAATTACCGTCCCTGTACTGTTACTTCAGTCTCTGGTAGCTCCTGGAACCTGCCAAAGAAAGGTCTCTGAGTGGTCCTATCTGTTTCTTGGGAACTATCCTCTGTTGATATAATCTGTCTCATCCTAAAAGAATGTATTAAATTGAGACCAATTAATTTATTTGCAGGACCAACATCTGCACCCACACAAGACAGCTGACAGTACAAAAAGCAGTATTATCATCAAAACTGGGATGCAAGCCTTCTCATTATACGGAAGCGTGCTGGGTTTCTGTGGTGCTGGGGTTTTTTTTGGTAGCGGGGGAGGGGGCTACAGCAGTGCCCCCTGTGAGAAGCTTCTGGAAAGCTCCCCCGGCTCCAAGTCGGACCCACCTGTGGTCAGGGCCGAGCCCATCAACTGCACTTCTGTGATAAAGTATTGAAGAAGGGGAAGCTGAGAGGGGGCTGGGACATGTGAGGAGTCGGGAGAAGGACAAATGCTGAGGTAAGTGGAAGGAAGGAGAAGGACGTGGGGGAGACGCACCGGAGCAGAGACCCCTCTGTCCCCTAGTGAGGCGGCAGGGCCGCCCCCCTGCCACCCGTGGAGCCCGGTGGTGGAGCAGAGACTAACCTGAGGCCTGAACAGAAAGCCACCAGAGGACAGGCCTCTGCACTTAAAACAGGCCGGGCCCGGAGGGGAGGAGCGGCCCCGCTGCTGCGGTTCGGCGCTGGGAGGACTGCAACACGCGGGGGGGACCCACGGCGGAGCGGCTGCGGCCCGTGGGGGGACTCACACTGGAGCAGGTTCGTGGAGGACTGCGGGTCTGCGGTGAGAGGGGAGCCCCGGGGAGCCGGGGAGGGATGTGCGGCGCTCACCCCACCTCCCAAAGGGGAAGGAGCGGCGAGCTGGCTGTGACCCCCATCCCCTGCCCCTGCCCCACGGGGGAGGAGGGGGAGAGATCGGGAGCAGAGCTGAGCCCGGGGAGAAGGGAGCGGTGGGAGGAGGTGGTTTTGGATGTGGTGGGGCTTCTCACTGTCCCACCTTGGCTGTTAAGTGCTGTCTTTGTTAGCATCTGAAAGTGATGCTTTCTTTTCTTCCCCTAAGGAGTCTTTTGCCTGTGACCATAATGGGTGAGCTACCCCTCCCAGTCCACAGATGGATTCTTTGAGCTATTTCTGCTTCATTTTCTCCTTCCCATTCCTGACAGGGGGAAAGGATGAGTGAACAGCTGTGTGGTGCTCAGTTGCCCTCTGGGCTCAAACCACAACAGGAAGTCATTATGAAAAATGGAAATTGAGGTTACTTTTTTTTTTTTTTTCTTTCTGAAAGGACAACTGCAAACAAGTTTAGTTCTTAAACAAAAAAAGCACTGCCAGCCCTAAGCTACGTATTGCTGTTTCTTACAGAAAATCAGTTCCAAAAGGACCGCACCAATGTTTAGATTTGAGCTTTACTTACTTTGTATGTGAAAGCCTTCCATGGTAAGTGTGCAACAGACTTCATCTAGGAATAAAAATATCAATTTGTAACAAAGTCTGGAAGAGACTAGAAAAGTAGTCTTTTATCACTTTTCAATCTTACCTTATAGTTTACAAACAGCTGGGGCAGCATAAACAGGAATCCAAAAGCATATACTCCTGAAGATGAAATACAGAAAACTCACAGACAAATGCACGATAAAGTACATTACACAACTACACTTTCACAATTAGAGATTTACACTCCGTTTCCTAAAGAGAGAAGATGCAGCTAAACCTTTTGTTCACTGTGGGTTGATCCTTCTCCCTTTCTCAATCACTGTGACAATTACACTGATCCAGCTGACAGCAGCTGGTTATCTACTTTGGAGTCTTGGCCTCCATTTGAAGAAAGATGAATAGAGAAGAAACATAAGGCAGCACTCACCGTTGACAAAACTGTTAATCAACCAGGAATACCAGCTACAAAGAAAGACAACAGTCCAGTTATTTTTTCATCTCAGCCAAAAATATATATCTGTAATACATCCTTTACATGACTGTATGGCGATTACTCCAAGAAACAACTATGTTTTGAGTTACTTTATGCAAGAACTTAATACCTAGCGTCTTCCTTTGATTAGGAAAGGCTCCAGAGAAGGTAGTTTAAACAAAGGATGCTTATCAGTCCATACAAGAAGTCTGGAGAGCTTTATCAACTGCTTTTACAGTTTCTTCAGAACATTCTAAGGCTTCTGCACCCAAGCTGACATCAGATAATACTGCGCACTGAACCCTGACTATATTAAGGCTTGCAAAGGTATTCTAAATATTAAAGAGACACTTATTATGGCACTGTAAGGACCTATCAAATTTCAAACAACAAACACCATTCAGTGCAAACCACAACAGTAGGCACTTAAAAAAAAAAAAAGTAAATACAAGGAATCTACATTTTTCCCTCCTTACATCAAATAATCCTTCCCAGATGTTCAATGGATGATAATCTTAGCAAAATAACAGTAGCGCTACAAACAGCAGTCAAATTCCATACTTCTGCTTGCAATAGTAAGAACAGGCAATAGGTGTGATGCTTGAGCTACATCCGTTAAAATTAAGCTTGCACTGCTGTCTTAGTTAATAGCAACATAACAGCTGTAGCAGCACTCCACTAATCCACAAGCTTCTAAAAAATGCAACAGAAAATGCCTGCAAGATTAAAGGATAATCTACCATTAAGATTACTTGTTCTGTCACATTTCCTTACAGATTTAACAATGGTAAAAATTCTATCATATGAATTGTTTTCACTTTCTTAAGCTACAGCTCACAGAACATCTGGCATATAGTATTCTGCAGTACTGAACGAATTAAAGAATTTTGTGAGAAAAGCAGAATTTTTAAATGCTGCATATTTGTTAGCTCCTTACTAAGACAAGAACCTTTTGAAAAAAGTATTTTTCTAATAGCCCAGAAATTGCTCCAGTTTCTAGTACAAGTGCTATGGATCATGTATGCAGCAAAAGTAGTTCTTTCTGATGTTATTTTAAGTTACTGCTTGCTCTCCCTCCCATCTCTTCTGGGCCTAAAGACTATATAAAAAAAAAATACGTATACATGGCTGTCACCATGCTTACATTTTGTGGATTTTTTTCTATAACAAAGTTTTATGGCTGCATATTGGTTTGCATCTCTCCGATACCAAATGAACCAGCTGTAGTATTCTGAGTGGAAGTGGACACGAGTTTAACCCTCAGCTCTTGCTGAAGTATCAGTACATTGCAGTAAGTCCACAGCTTTAAAGGAATTCAGAGCCCTTTCTTCAAAGTGCTTTTGCTTGCTTGCCATCCTACCTATCATATTTAGGAACAGAGGAACCTCTTGGTCTGAGCAAACAATTTTGGGACGGTTTTTCCTTCTCTCTGTTATCGGACAGGCTCAACTACTGAATTACTCTCATCTCCCCTGTGACCATATCAGTTCTCTGAACATCAGCTGCAGCTTTCTTCTTCCTCTCGTGATTAACAGCTTACTCATGCGTGCAAAGCTATTGAATTCTGTACTACAGTAATGTCAGGTTACTTGTGAAACACAACAGACTGTAGCTTACAGGATGTTAAAAAAACCATCTAGATTCTTCAGCTTTAGAACCTATAGAATGATGAAGTTTCTGGTTCCTGGCTTATGAATCAAACTAAATAGAACTGATTTCCATAACCCATCACCTCCAATTAATTACTACAGACAAAAATGGGGAACGTTTCAATTCTGTATGGGATCATTTATAGATTTACAGCACCTTTTGTATTTGACGTTCAGCAAGGAGTAACCTGCACCTCCAATACACAGTGGATATAGCAAATATGACAAGTATTTCATAGCCTAATAGACAAGGAAAACAGTTTGTTAGTTCATGTTTTATATACAGCAGACTTTGCATGGCATTAATTAGAAGACAGCCAAATAATTTTTTCCCTGAAAATCTTTTCCTGTTCCCAAATGTCTGCTATTATTTCCAGTATGATTCCAGTTCTAGAGAAGGTGGTGAAAATTCCAATGCCCAGTTCAGACAACCAAGCACCTTAGAGCATGGGCACCAAGAAGCAGCACGAAGATCAGAGTCTACAAGTAGCTCTCTACTTAACACCAGTGTTGCCACCTACGTCCAACTCCTTTCAGAAATCAGGAAGAACATGAATATTCCTCCAGTATATATAACAAGTATAAATATAAATTTTCAAATTTGTGAATGGTAACCCTTTTGAGATACTTGTTTTCAGGTAAGTCACTTGCAATTCTGCTTCTCAGGGAAATGTTTCAACCAGAATCATCTAGCAAAACAATTATTTCACCGTTTCTTTTCATAAATTATCAGAATGAATCTTCACTATCTGATCAACCACATGATGATGATGATGATCCACTTGACAACTACGAGAACATGGAAAATACACTTGTAACAATAAAAAGAGTGAAAGAAGTCAATCAGCAGGCCACATATATAGACTTTACAGATCAGAAGTCACAGGATTCCCTCTTACCTGGGTATCATACTCCTCAGTTTTCTTTTCAGAATCATTGTATGTACCAAACTGCAACACATATAAAAAGTACAATCAATCCAGAACTGGGGGGCAAAGCACTTGCTGTCTGACTCCCTAGAGATTTCGACTGCAAACTGAATTGCTTAGACATTAAGCTAGGTAACAGTACAAAGTTCTTCTCAGCTTCTTCTACAGAAGAGTCATGCAAATGTCCTGTCCAGTCTGCTAAATACAAAGTAGGCATAAATTTTATTTTTTCCCTTCACATTTTACAACAAACATCCTTGACTTCTTTGCTTAGGAAATTGGTGTTGAGACAGAAGAGCTCATAAAGCAAAAGCAAAGTGGCTAAGAATTTGGCAGATACAGGAAGTCATTATTAAAAACTATAACCATTTTCATGCATGAAGAGGCCAGTTATGGATTATCTCCAGAAACTGTGACTGCTTAAACACAGTTCCTTGAATACTGACAAAGGAACAAGCAGAGCTATCAGACACTCAAGATGCATAGATTTCAAGCAGCACAAAACGCCAGTGTTTCTTGTGAAGTAAACACTGAAGATTAGACAACTACTCCTCCTACCAACAAGAGAAACTTTCAATGTAGATTGTACTTTAAAAAGATGACACTCGTGTCAAAAAAAAAGTTAATTTGAATCCTTGCTGCCACTGCATGTCCTACAAACAGTCTCAGGACTTAATTTTTGTTCAGAGGATTTTGTCAAAGACGGTCCTGTTCCCAGAACCTGTCACATCATCTACTAGTTCCACAATGGACAAGTTATACCTACAGCTTCATGAGGAAATTCAGTTTCTTATTTCAAATCACTGTATCAGTCAAGAGAGCCTTTCCAACACAGTGGCAGGAGCACAGTCCCACCTGTTAAGATTCAGCAGGACTGACAGTCGAGTCTGAAGTTTCTCATACCACACATATATACAGAGAGCCACCTCTTTTACAGAACTCATGAAAGAAAGTCATTAATTTGAAAACAGTCATCCAGCTTTTGGATTAAGCCATCCATACAGAAATTATGCACTTAGGAATCTTTTCTAGCTTTTTTTTAAATCTTAATTTCACTAAAAGCCAAGTTACACAGTAATCTGGAACCGAATGGACAACTCAAGAGTGTAATCATTAACAGGCCAATGTCTACTATACCTGAATTTTGGGTCTCAAGCCTTGCCACTTGATCGTCATTTTCAAAGCTTTCTTCACTTTCCAGAGCTGTGATTAGCAAAAAAGAAATGTGCACATAAAACATCATTCAAAGGAATGTCTTATGCAGGATTCAGGTATCAGAATCCTGACCCCAGAATATCTATTTTAAGCATGCATTGCATAAAGCACGCTGCCTGTGTCTCTGTTCAAACCAAATGCCATGTCACCAGACAAGTACAACACTGGGAGCCTGCACTATTAAGTCTCCATATCAGATTATGTACTTTAAGTAAAATAATGTAGTCCTTCCAGGATATCTGGATTGCAGTGCTGTGGTAGGGGTTAGCTGCTCTCCACACCAGGAGGAACCTCAGGTCAGGCATTTACAGAATTCTCCAGTAACTGCCTGCCAAGCAAGTTTTTATGTGCCTTTGAGGTCAGCTGGGCTCTGCAAGATGAGGGTGCCTCAGAACTCCCAACAGTGATTAAGTAAGCATTTACATGGTCATCACATTTCAGTAGGGGGCTACAACCACAAGTCAGTGAATTCACTGAATTATTTGGCTACTTACTGTACACAGCTGTAGCAGCCTGACCCTAATGTAACCAAAGGTTCAGTTCACCTGAAAATTCACTCATGCACCCACTCCGCTGCACAGATTCAAGAACTTAGGCAATGCAGCAAGCTCACCAGGACAGCTATGCTCCATGAAGCTTTGTGTGGACAAGGTTTGTTTGTGTAACTTCAGATACACCAGTACTCTCACCCATCATCTCTCCCAACAAAAAAGGGCAATAAGGTAAAGACAATCCTTTACTGTGATCTTTGATGCAAGTGAGAGAATTACTTATTACAGAAGCAACATCACTATTAGTACTGCATGAGAAATAGGTGTTAAGAACAAGTTGTGAAAAATCTCTTCCCAGCAAATTCCTTTATAGCCTGCATGTTGATTCTCACCGAGACAACCATGTTGTCTCACCATTACTTGAGCGGAGAGAGGTGTTACTTCAACAGAACCTACAGAACATTTTCCCTCAATTTAAGTGTCCCACACACTGTTCCTGTATAATCCTTTCAACCCAGTTCCCCCAGCCTGCAATCCAAAAGCAACATACTGGAAAATAAGGCGTATGAGAAAGGCAACAGGAGCAAGTCATAGGAACTGCAGATCTCAGAGATATCTACTTAACAGATCTTTGGGCAGCTCAGAGAAGAATCTCAGACAGGCACAATGACTAAATGAGATCTGAATCAGCCTGTTCTTAGGTAGCATCAACCCAGAAATCCATCTTCATTACAAGAATAATGCGAAATCTTAACACCTGCAATCACACTTAAATCCTGCAGCATAGCTGATAATTACTGTTACCCTACCACCATACATGCCTGATCTGGTTTCCACAAAAACTTCCGAAAAAAAAGTGATTTAGAAACCAGGGGTATTTCTTTTTCCCCACTACAAACAAAAGCATCACTTTTCTTGACCTGATTCACTTTTAAATCATTTTGCACTTTTGAATTTCTGAAGTCTTTAGATTTTTTCTAATTTAGTTACTTAGATTTCAAGGATCAAAAGAAAAGATATTCTACAAAAGTAGCAGCATATTTATAGGGATATATATTTATCTCTGAATCTTAGTTAAAATTTCAGACAGCTAAGGCAAGTTTGAAATATAAGGCTAAATTGCTATTTATAGGAATAAAAACCACTGGAAAATCTGATACAGACCTAACACAGAAATACATCAGATTTAAAAATCTCAACTTGATGAAAAGTAATGTCACAGTCAATGAAACAGCACTATTTAGGACACCGCTGTTCATAGCTCTCACATGAGCTTAACCAGTTTGATACAATAAGCTAAAATTTAAGGATTGCTTTGTGACTTCGCATTCAACAATTTAATCACTAATTAAAAATTTGGAACGACTTTGTTTCCACAGGGTTTATCTGCAACTATAACAGATGTGTAGTCAAAAATTCCACGAGTCCTGAACTTCTTTTCAAATACTGAGAAGTAAATAGATCTGCAAGCAGTGCTAGGGAGAGAGATCTCCCCCCCTCCCATTACCCTTGACTTTGTGCTTTACTACACATCAGGAAGGCTTCCGAGCAGCACCTGCAGCCCACCGACTGGCTGTGGTCGCTTGGAATAACGAGCACAGCCATCACTCTCCTCCTCTCCCTCCTTCCCTCAGCACCTCAGTCACGGCCAGGGAGAAAGCTGCAGACCCGGGGTGCTGCCTGCCAGCACCCAGCCTGATCTGACAGATGCACCCGTGAAGGCTTGCTGACACGGCTGCACACGCCTGGCCAGGAGCGACGCCTACCAGATGATGTGACAGGGAGGAACCTCAGCATAGTTCTGTTTGGTTTCTACACCACCAGCTGGCCCGTCCCAGAAAAAACTGATACTTCCAGTTTAAAGGGACACAATCTCCTCCACCACTGAAAGCCAGTTAAACAGTTGCCACTAAGGCAGCGTTCTTTTTCTACCACAAACTATGGATGTTGCTGCGAATATTGGTGTTTGGTTCTAGAGCTTTAAGAACTCACCTCAATCACTGCACCAATGCCTGCTGGGATCAGTACCAACAGACTTGTTTGTTCGTCCAAAAGGAAAAGAAATATTACCACAGTACTAAAGCACCGCCAAAGCACTAGATGAATAGAAAAAATGAAAATGAAAGGCTTATTAATACTTAAATGAACAGCTGAGATAACAGAAGACTGTTGGCCTATTTACTATAATTCTGTCTTACGCAGTTCAAGCACGAATTTCTCCTATCTTGATATACTGAGTAGTCCTAGAAACAGCCAGTCATCTATACACCTCCAGGTAAATACGGAACAAAAATATGTTATGAAATCTTTATCACAAAAGATGGAAGGAAATCAGAATTTTTAAGGAAGACTTCTGCACTGCAGCAATTCAGCAATGTATCAGTACTATTAGGAACTATGTTCATGATTCTTGTCTCAAGGAAGCTGAAGGGCTGTGAGGTAATATCAGTCTTTGAAACTCATGCAACTAATTTAATGTTTGGAAATGTTAAGAATTATATTTTAGGGTTATTTTTCAGGCTTTGCAAAACCTTGGATGCTTGTAAGTGTCCACCAACTGATTCTGAGATTCAAATATCCATCCCCCTAAGCAGGGACAGAAAGAGAGAAGAGCTACAACACACCCAGACATCAACAATTATACCATACCATTCCAGAGCAATTGCCTGTTGCACTTCTCCCTCAGGGCAAGAAGGAGATATAGGCAGAAAGGTGACTAAGGCTTGCAAAAGAGAGGATGGAACCGTCAATTAGTGGAGACTGAAGACTGACATTTTGATAGTAAGGTTAGAAAACCCTTTGTCACTCAGTCTTTCCAATTTGCCTTTACTCACCTTTTAAGCTGGCAATTAACACTTAATTCTGAAATTTTGATTTTTTTTTTTTTTTTTAATTTTTACTTTTTTGGCGTATATATGCCAAGAGCAGTATAAAGTCCTTACAAAAACAAATACACTCTGATAAATCTATTTCAAGCAGTAACTATTAGCACAATAAACAAGGCTGGGGAGTGGCGTGTTAAACCTCAAGCGTCCAGGGCTGGCCCCTACCTTCACTGGTCTCTAGGATGGCTTGAGAAGATCTCAGACCACTATGTTTCTCTCATCTTTCCTATGTCCAAGTCAACTCAAGCCTCACGAGCTCTTTCCCGCTTCCCCTGCCCCCAGGAGCTTCTGCTCCTGTTTATATCCAAGTCCAAATCAAACAGCACTACACTGCAGCCTTTTCCCCCCTCAAATATTTTGGAACCTCTCTACCTGTCTACGAGGAACACATGGGACTCGCAGGACACCAATACCCATGATGGCACATTCTCTCCACCCATGGGATTTTTTATGGTACTCATTTTTTTCCCAAGGTATTTTTCTGTTCCTTCAGGAAGGGAAATATGGCAACTGACTTAATATTAAACTAATTCTCAATTGCAGGACAGTCAAACCTCAGAAGTGACATGAGTGCTTAAAAGCAAGTGATACTTGAGCAAAATGCTAACAAAGTTAGAACCAGCCTGTTAGCCATCTTCTTTTCATATATAAAACCATCTAATTTTGCCATCTTGGTGACTCTACAAAGTGTCAACTTAGAGTAAGACTGAAAACACACAGTATATATTACACAGCACACGTACAACACTTCGCGTTCCGGCCCATACCTGCTTTTGTAGACATCCCAATCATGCTCCTCTTTTTCTTCCAAAAACTAATGTCATTTTTGAATGCAAGGAAATCAAAGAGGAGCTGCAAATAGCAAGAAACATACTCATTTGCTTGAAATGTGCACTAATTAGAGACTGCCAGCTGAACTTTTAAAAATGCATTTAACGTGGAATTCAATAAAAACCTGGTTTAGAAGCTTCAGAAATAAAAAGTATCACAAATAAAAGCTAAAAGAAAACCTATTTTAGAAACCCAAGTTCTAAAAGCAGTGCAAAATGACAGGATAAATTCTAAATACTGCTCTACTACAGTGCTGCACAATGCAGTGTCCTATAAAGAAAGTTAGTGACCCTGCACAGGTCAACACACGGTAGAAGATGAAGAATGAGGACCCTGAGGAATTGCTCATTGCCTTGACAGACCAAGGAAAACCACACTAAATTAGATTCAAAGTACTCTGCATTGGATTAAGAGTAATTTAGGCTTAGATGGTACCAAAGCTTTTTTTAAAAAAATCCTACAATACATCAGGTCGGGTTTCGTCTCTATTTCATCACTAAGAAGTTGACCTAAATTTCAGGGACATTTTAGCATTTAATTTATTTGTAGTGAGTGTTTTTTTCGGTATTTTCACAGAGTATACTTTTCAATATTTTATTTAAGCATTCACTGTCTTAAAAAAAGCAGCACATTTTCAAGAAATTCTTGGGTCAGAGAATTCTCATGGGAAAGTATGTTTTGTTTTAAAATTCAGGCAAATGGTGCACAGAAGAAAAAAATAACAAAAGAGCTAGTCCCACTCTACAGGTGCCTTACAACCTGCAAACAGAATGGAAAAAATAAATTAATATGGCTGGGAAGTCTAGGGCTTTCCAACCAAATTAATTGCACGTAATATAAGTATAAAGAATCATTACATGCCCAGCAAGTTCTTATTTCTCCCCAAATATGGGAATTGTATTGAGTGTAACTGTAGATGATAAAAATGTTCACAGTAGAACAATGCTGTCTAAAAAGATTCTTCAGTAAAACAAAGATTCACATTTAAACCAAGGCACACACAATGATAAAAGAGAGACACAACAACAACAAATAACCATGACTAGAACCCTAAGCTCTGCACTTTACAGGAACAATAACAATTTTTGGAAGCAATTTAGGTCAGCTGGTCTAAATATCTTCAGGGATTAGAAGTCAGAGACTCAAACTCTAATATTGGTGCCCCAGCTATGCCACTGCAGTGGTAAACCTTGTGACAACTCAACAAAATTTGAACTAATGTTGACAGGCATATTAATTCTAGGGGCTCTGGTTCAACTACAACTGAAAAGTGATAATCAAGTTAAATGTTTTCTATTTCAGTCAAGACTGTTAGTTTCTATCTAGTTATCTCAAATTTCTGTCTTATTTGACATTTTTAGACTAATTCAGTATTGCAAATACAGCTGACTTGCACCAGAAAACACCTCCATTGCTCTACTGAAATTATTATTTCCAAGAACAGCTCTTAATAAATGAGTTTAAATTCAGCCCCCCCCTTTTTATTTCATATGCTGTAATTCCTAAAAACCAAAGTTTCCCCACTTACATGGAATGCTGCTACAAAGAACGTCAAAGCCAGAAAATACAGGTTAGTATCAACAAAAATTCCTTTTACTTCATCTGCATCCTTTTCTGAAAACCCTAAGAGAAAGAACAAGTAATTATGCAAGTACCACCAGACAGTTAATTGCTGTTATGCTAGAGTCCACTATAAAAGGAACCTTATGTCACACCCACACATGTTTTGTTAAGGAATCGTAAGTGGCAGCTTTATTGGTAGCCCAAGTCTACCTATATTTTGGTGAGTTACTTGGCTTGCCTTAACCAAAACCCATCAGTTACAAGCAGACTGATGTGCCTTTAACATGTTGTGTAACTACAACCTAAGTGAACACCTGACAGACAAATGGCAAGACACAGGAAGTCATTCTGGCCTGTGTGGGAAGAAAAAGCTCATTCAGCTTGGATTCTGAACTTTTATTTGATACACAAGAAAAGTGAGCTTCACATTAAAAACTGGAAAATGAGAAAAGGACTACAATATAGAGGACAACAAAGGTCAGTGAGAAACATGGCCATATACTCAACAGTATTGACCTCAGATCATGGGCTAGGCATCAAATCTGTTGATGGTCCTTGCAGAATTAACTTGGAAGCTTCTCTCTGGTAAATGGAAAAAGGCAAAGCACCTTCCAGAAAGTACAATCTGTAAGCGGAATACATATTCTCTACTGTCTTATCAAATCTCCTAATGGAGGAATGTTGCTACCTTGTTATATTAATTCAAAAAAAGTTAGAGCCTGTCCACGATACCTAAGGTTGCCAGCATCAAGCAGTGTGTTTTCCAGAAGATACACCACCCCTCTGAACTCCTTCAGCCAGTGTTAAGATGCTTTCTTCATAAAGTAGAAAGTTTCAGCCACTGTGATTGAAGCCTACTGCTCTCAGAAAATACACGATGCAGCATTTCTGGCAGTGGTGCTTATGACACTGGTGAGTTCAGTACTGATTTACTTTATCATATTAGCTGTCCTGCATCTCAGCAAGAAAAATGTGAGCTTACCCATTTTTAAGGAATTTTGGAGTTTTGATAGTGATCTAAGGTGACCTTTTCATAAGTTATTCCAAAAGGAACATTTTAAACCTTGCATTTCACTGTCTACATACTTATAAAGAACAAGCAGCATCTTAGGTAAGTCTTTCTTCCAGGCAGAGGAGATACTCCTAGGATGATAGGTCCTGATATATGTGTCCTTCACAAGACAGTCAGGACGTGGAACATGAAAATTTCAATTATTCCATTCTCAGGAGGCTTACAGAAGTTTCTGAAGAAATGTCAAATGCCCCATGCAAATTTTGAGCAAGCCCTTACTTGGTTCTTTCAAGACAATTATTTCAAGCAGACATACCCATAGCTTCAACATACGTTAGCCTGAGCTAAGGAGAAGCAGCTGGATTCTACTAAGGATGACCTTATTCCTTACTCGCCTTCCCTCCCCCAACAAAACATGAGAAAAGCCTAAGCTGCAAAAGAAATGGAGAAAGTCTAGAAACTCCGGTAAGTCACACTGTACAGAGGTACTGTGTGTTATAATACTACTCTCTGAAACTAGCGCTGAACTAGAACAGGTTTTTATTTCCCCAGACAAATCAGTGCCTTAAATGTTGTTGTCCACCATAAAATATTAATATGGAGATGACAGTGAATAACCAAAACCTCTCTCTTACTGACTAAATTTTGGTGAACAAAGAACAACACTGAGTAGAATGGAAGCAGCATTAGCCCTGTGTATGTCTCTTAGGAAACTGGTAGAATACTGCATCTATCTGCATTGAAAAAAAAAAAAAACAAAAAAAAACCCAAAACCGATAAACTGAGAAGGATTTAAGAATCATTACAGTAATACAGCACAGAAGATTTTAAAATCTCTTGGTCTGAAAAAAAAGTTCAAATTGCTGTCTGAAGAGCTTAAAAAGAGAGGATCAGAATTCACAGACATCAATACCAGTTCAGTTACAATATAGTGCCTTACTCTAACATAAAGAAGCCAACTACTGTCTACTGAGAGAAATCTAAGTCAGCAAAGATAACCCTCAAAATAAGATGTGGATTTTTAAGAGTGACTATAGGCTCACAAAGGTGTGTATTAGTGGAACAGACATTTAAAGACAGTAAAAGCTTGGCTATACCATCACCAACATGGAGCGTACGAACTTCAGAGTGAAAGTGCATGCTTGCTCCATTACATTTAAATGAAACACATAATTTAATAGTTTCATGCATGTAAAGCCTCTGGTTTATCTAAATTACCGTATAAATTTGTTACTGAGCCGAAGTGAGAGGCCAGCCAGTTCTGATGTGTCAGAAGCAGGATGTTCAGAGCCCAGATTCTTTCTTCATGCTAAGCTTGAGCCCAAAGACTTTGCTGTGCCTGCCCGCATTTCACTGTAGGTAAAGGGCTACAGTGACCCCCAGGATATAGCTTATATCAAAGCTTATGTAACAGTGACCCAGCTTTTCTGTTCCGTGGGTGACAGGGGAAACTTTTGGCGAAAATTCTCTATTTTGGCTTCTTATGTTTTTACAGTAGTGCTATTCAAGTAACATTTATTTTAAAAATGGTTAATTCACTTTTGTATTCTTGTTTCCTATCACGTCAACATTTTATTTCTATCTTTACCTTACAGTAAAACAACATAAGATTTGTAGCATTAAACCTTTCCAGCTAACTAGAAAAAAGAGAGTGTTAAGTGCCATCTATGTACTTACAAGAAAAAAATTGAGGGGTTGATAGTTTTTTTTTTTTGCCTACAATCATTAAAAGATAAAAACATACCAAACTGCTGGAGGGAGTACACAGCATCCTGCATGTGAATCCAAAATCGGAGTTTTCCAAGAGATATTTTGTCATATGACACTGTAAGAGGTAGCTCTGTTGTTGAACGATTTATAACCTGTATTTCAAAAAGATACAGTTTCATTTTTAATAGCAGAAAAATTGCAACAATGATTTCCATTCTTTTTTTTTTTTTTAAATAAAGGAATATCACACTATAATTTAATCTCACAATTTTAAGAGGTCAGTTTGTTTTTGAAAGGGAATAAGATCTTAGACTTCTACACTTTGCTTGAAGTCTTTGGGTTTTTTTCCAATAAATGTTAAATTAGCAGTTTATTCTGTTCAAGTTAGTACAGCAACCTCACTGTTACTCTATATAAATGTCTCTGAGACATTTACATAAAGTTTCCCCTGCTGGTCTCAGTTCAAGTAGGAAAAGTGTGCTTCAGGTAATTCTCTCTTTTGATAGTTGTTCTCTGAATGTATATGCTAATCTTCATTCTCAGGTAATCTTAAAAAAAAAAAAAAGAAAAAAATCACATCCCAAAGGCCACAGTCAGAACTTTACTAAATTGAGGCTGGTTCCGAGAGAAACTCAAGTTACAATTCATACCAAAAGGTAGGGAAGCAAGATGATGCTACTTGCTTGGACTGGTGAAAACACCACAGTTAAGAAAGCCACCCTGCCTGCAAACCTTGGGATATGGGATGTCACAGAAATCTTCTTTCTGTTCCAAGATAAACACGTTTCATCTAATCCTACTGTGTCATCTACACTTCAATTATGATGAGAACTACCTCAGGACAAAAAAAAAAAGTCTTAAAATTGCCTCAGCTCCTTCTGCACAATATTTGACTGTCTGTAAAAGAGGTTTAAAATGAAAACAACAAAAAAAATTGTCCTCACAGGTGGCAGAATTCTCTGCAGCTACCTAGGTACACGTTCAGGCGGCACGTTTTAAGCTTGCAAGGATAGCTCAAGTCTACAGACAGGCAGACACTCTGCAACAGTTCAAGGTATATTGCTCCTGGCTCCTAATTAATACCCAATCATAACTCCCATGTCAGAGCTGCTGCTCTACACCGGATCTGTTTATACAGTAATTAGTTAGCGGACACCTGCCTGAGATGAATGGGCTTCATCTGATTCTTATGCTACTGAACATGGTTTTAGCCTTCCCAAGTATGTCAGGTCTGCACTGGGGATTACATTCACCCTCCCGTTCACTCTTTCCTCCAGCGAGTACAGACAATTCCCAACTCACCACCCTCCCAAGATCCTATAGGATTTTAAGACAGTTGCATAACATGCATGCAAGGGAGGGAAAGGGAAACTGAAAGTTTTATAAGTACAGCAGGAAAAAAAAAAAACTTGAGAAACTGTAATTGTGCCAGGGATCTCTAAACTACCTGGAAAAAACAAACAAACAAACAAATGAAACAAAAAAACCCCAACCAACCAAAAAAACCCCAAAGAAACAAAACCAAAGTGAAACTAATGTGGTTAGAGATGACAGTAGAGAATGCTAGCAAGACTCTACAGCTGTTTACCAAAATCTACATGAACACATTCCAGGCTGCTTCTCTTTTTTAAAGGATGCCTGTAATCCATCCATTCTCATTCCAATTTCTCAGTCTATCAGAGATCACATCAACATTTATGGGAGAAAAGGAAAAGAAGCTTTATCTGTGCATGATAGGAAAGAAAAATTTTGCAAACGTGTGGGTAACATACAGCAAGTGCAGTCTACAGAGACAAAACACTACTAAGGAGTTAGGGGTAGGGAGAAAATCAAATTGCAATACAGGACAGATAGGAAGCCTTCAATACCAAAAGCAAATTAAGACATAATGAAGAATGAACAGTTAAAAGCCCACAAGTGCTGCCTCACAATCTAGTTGAGTGTGATAGTTGCTAAGCCTTTGAAAACTAGGAAGTTACCAAACCTCTGCAATACAACCAACTCCTGTAGTACAGCCTCAGAACATCACAGATTACTTCTAGCACTCTAGTTTATTAGTACTACAAAACAGGGTGTAAACAAAGCAAGTAAATTCATTGGTTTGAATTTTAAAGTTTTCTCTTTATTAAATATGTTAAATGTTTACAAGCCCTGGTCCTCAAGGGGGATTTCAACCACCTTGCCATCTGTTGGAGGGACAACACTGCAGTGCATAAGCAACCAAGGAGGTTCCTGGAATGCACCGATAACAACTTCCAAGTGACAGAGAAGCCAATGAGGAGAGGTGCGATGCTGGATCTTGTTCTCACCAACCAGGAGGGGCTGGTGGAGAGTGTGAAGATCAAGGGCAGCCTTGGCTGCAGTGACCACGAAATGGTGGAGTTCAAGATCCTTCAGGCAACGAGGAGGCCACACAGCAAGCTCGCTACCCTGGACTGCAGGAGAACAGACTTTGGCCTGTTCAGGGATCCGCTGGGCAGAGTAGCAGGGGATGAAGCCCTGGAGGGAAGACGGGCCCAAGAAAGCTGGTTAATATTCAAGGATAACCTCCTCCAAACTCAGAAGTGATGCATCCCAGCAAAGAGGGTAAGAGATAAGAGAAGGATAAAGAGGTAAGAACACCAGGAGGCCTGCATCGATGAACAAGGAGCTCCTGGACAAACTCAGACATAAAAAGGAAGCCTACAGAGGGTGGAAGCAAGGACAGATAGCCTGGAAGGAATACAGAGACACTGTCCGAGCAGCCAGGGATCAGGTTAGGAAGGTCAAAGCCCCGACAGAATTAAATCTGGCCAGGGACATCAAGGGCAACAAGAAAAGCTTCTACAGGTACATCGGTGATAAAAGGAAGACCAAGGAAAACATGAGCCCTCTCCAGAAGGAAACATGACTTGGCTGTCCAGGATATGGAGAACGCTGAGGTACTCGGTGACTTTTTTCCCCTCAGTCTTCACTGGTGAGCGCTCCAGACACACCAACCAAGACACAGAAGGTAAAGTTGGGGACTGGGAGAAGGAAAAACTGCCCACTGTAGATGATCAGGTTCAAAACCATCTAAGGAACCTGAAGGTGCACAAGTCCATGGGACCTGATGAGATGCATCCGCAGGTCCTGAGGGAACTGGCAGATGAGGTGGCTAAGCCACTATCCATCATATTTAAGAAGTCGTGGCAGCCTGGTGAAGTTCCCACTGACTGGAGAAGGGGAAACATAACCTCCATTTTTAAAAAATAAAAAAAAGATGACCTGGGGAACTATAGGCCAGTCAGTCTCGTCTCTGTTTCCAGTAAGATCATGAATCCTCCTGGAAATATGCTAGGGCACATGAAAAATAAGGAGGTGACTGGTGACAGACAACATGGCTTCATCAAGGGTAAATCATGCCCGATGAGTTTGGCGGCCTTCTACAATGGGGTTACAGCATTCATGGATAAGGGTAAAGCAGCTGATGTTATTGACCTGGACTTGTGCAAAGCATGTGACACTGTCCCGCACGACATCCTTGTCTCTAAATTGGGGAGACACGGATTTGATGGAGGGACCACTCAATGGAAAAGGAATTGGCTGGATGGTTGCACTCTAAGAGTTGTGGTCAATGGCTCGATGTCCAAGTGGAGAGCGGTGACAAGTCAGTGTTCCTCAGGTTGGTATTGGGACCATTGCTGTTTTACATCTTAGTCAGAGACATGGACAGTGGGAGTGAGTGCACCCTTGGCAAGTTTGTCAATGACACCAAGGTGCGTGGCACAGTTGACATGCTGGAGGGCAGGGATGCCATCCAGGGGGACCTGGACAGGCTGGAGAGGTGGGTCTGTGCAAACCTCATGAAGTTCAACAAAGCCAAGTGCAAAGTCCTGCACATGGGTCGGGACAATCCCAAGCACAAATACAGGCTGGGGGATGAGTGGGTTGAGAGCAGCTCTGCGGAGAAGGACTTGGCAGTAATGCTGGATGAAAAGCTGGACATGAACTGACAGTGTGCACTCACAGCCTGGAAAGCCAACTGTATCCTGGCCTGCATCAAAAGAAGCATGGCCAGCAGGTTGAGGGAGGTGATTCTCCCCCTCTACCCCCCTCTTCTGACACCTCACCCGGAGTACTGTGTCCAGCTCTGGGGCCCCCAATATAAGAAGGACATGGACTTGTTGAAGCAAATCCAGAGAAGGGCCACAGAGATGATCAAGGGAGTAGAGTACCCTCCTTGTGAGAACAGACTGAGAGAGTTGGGGGTGTTCAGCCTAGAGAAGGCTTTGGGGAGACCTTATAGCGGCCTTCCAATACTTAATGGGAGCCTACAGAAAAGATGGGGAGTGACTCTCTATCAGAGAGTGTAGTGACAGGATGAGGGTTAAGGGTTTTAAATTGAAAGAGGGTAGATTTAGATTAAATATAAGGAAGAAATTCTTTACTGTGAGGGTGGTGAGACACTGGCACAGGTTGCCCAGAGAAGCTGTGGCTGCCCCCTCCCTGGAAGGGTTCAAGACCAGGTTGGATGGTGCTCTGAGCAACCTGGTCTAGTGGAAGGTGTCCCTGCCCATGGCAGAGGGGTTGGATCTAGATGGTCTTTAAGGTCCCTTCCAACCCAAACCGTTCTATGATTCTATAAATCACAATCCTGTGCAATTCCCAAACCCCCAACATTGGCAAGAACATTTAAAAACATGAGGAACACATACAGCACTTACCATGGAAGACCTACATCTGGCTCAAAATAAGTCAGTTCAAAATCTACACAGCCTAGCACATGCAGGGGAAATGCATCTTCAACTCCATGCCTTTAGGTCAGGCATATCAGACAGCATCTACGCCCATGTTTACAGTGAAATGCCGACCTTGGTCCACAAAAGCTGTATCAACTTCTTCCCTGCTATTCACTTACCCCTCATCACCTCACAGTATGCATACTATCAGACCACTCTTTCTGCAAGGCTTGAGAACAGTCTGGCAAGTCACTACTGAGAAGTCACGTAAGCCAGTGCTGAAGGGGAAGTTTGCTACTTTTACTGGAGTTGTCTTTGCAGCACTTCTCAGGATCTTTAACAATTTTAAGGCAGTGAGTTACAATAGCTTTACCTGCTACATGCATGACAACTGCAGGAGTGTGATTAATAACATGAGAATGCTGAGCTTATTTGTAAACAGGGTTACATGACTTGACCAGTTAGAAGCTCATAATGAATGTACTGAACTGAATGAGCTGCTCTAAGAAACTTAAAACAAAGGACAATGACCACTGATAAAGACATCACAAAAGTATATCCAAAAAAAGCACTGGGCAAAACTAGCTGCTACCAAAATTTTTAACAAATGCTCAGGAGTTTATTTTGCTGAACAAACTTGGGGTGGAGTGGATACAAGTTCTTAAAGAAGATTCTCCCCAACACTAAGTAACAATATTCTTTGTCTGAGCTAAAGTTAATGAATTGGAAAGACAATTTAGAAGGTCGACGGAAAGTTTACATCCACCCAAGACATCCATCTAGAAGATGCTGAATCCAGATGCACTCATTTAACAGTTTTGAGACACTCCCCAATACTTTTGTTCTCAGTAACTCTGACTGCTAAATTCCAGTCAGTGCAACTGAAAAGAACTGCAGGGCTTAACACAGAGCTGCTAAGATGAATGTGGTTAAAATGCAGGGCACTGCCATGTCTAACCTGTCGTAAAGAAACTGCATGGTTTCCCGCAAGAGAAGAGTTGGGCAAAAACTGAAGAGAGAAATTGTATTTAAATGTATGATCCCTCCTTTTTTTTTTTAACCACAGGGGTGACTGAACACTAGAACAGGTTTCCCAGAGACGTTATGGCATCTCCACCTTTGGATATATCCAAAACCCAACTGGAGAAGGTCCCAAGCAACCTGATCTGGCTGGCTGTGGCGGTTTGAGCCTGGTTGGCAGCCAAACACCACACAGCCACTCTCCACTGCTGCAACCACCAGCTGACCAGTACCCAGCCCATTCCCATCTAGCAATACTGAAATACCAAGATCCCACAATCGTAATCCCAGAAACTATTCTGGGCCTTGAAAAACCCCACCACTCACTCAAATCCAGGACACTGACCCTACTCTAAGCAGGGACATTGTACTAGCAACCCCCAGAATTCTCTTCCAACCTCATCCTTCTGTAATTCCATTATTGAAGTTTATAAGTCCTGATTTGTTTGAGTCAACAATATCATTGGATGTGCTGCAACACCAAGCTTTCAGTGCTCAAGCTACTCTAACATAACAGAGAGCACCACCAGAAAATTTAATGAATGAATTTTCTGGACATAAGAGAATAGCTACTGACTTATCTCAGTGCAGCTCCAGTGTCAGCTGTGTTCAGTATGCTCATTTCTCTAGAAGATTCTAGAAGCCAGTTCTGGGATGCTAGGGAGTCAAATTGCTCCCGAGACTTCTCCCAGCACAGCTGCTGCTGCAGTGATGTCCTCCATAACCACGCAAAAGGCAGAAGCAATAGAATCCGAGTATCTTTTGGTGCTGGGCAGATACTTCTGCCAGAAGGGAGTCTCAAAACCCAGATCCAGCCTCTGCAGTTACCACAGTTGAACACATCAAGTTAAACAGTCATTGATAGAGTTCTTTTGTGAATTTATACTTTTTCATTGCAGAAAACAACCTATGGCAAAATCTGAATTAAAACAACATTGAAGATTACCATTAAAACTGTTAAATGTAATTAAAGGTATTCTATTACTCACCATCAAATCTTTCACTCTGTTGCTTAGCTGATCAATAAATAATATTGGAAGGTAATGCACTGTCTTCCCCACCTGAACCCTAGGATGTTTAAACATGGATTTTATGACTGTAGTGATCTAAAAAAAAAACTACTTTTATTCAAATTATCACTCATTCATCACTTTCAGATCTACCCATGTACATATTTCCCACCATCTTTTCAGGCACAATTTCTTTTAACACACAGCAAGAAAGAAGCCACTAGCCTAGAGTCTTTCATTGAGAGATGTCTGTATAAAAAATTAGGTATGTCATATTTCTCCTTTTAGTTTGTTTTTTACTTTTCTGTAAGGAAATAGAATAAGCAAAAGAAAAAAATAAAAGACAAATGGAATTGACCGTAATGATACTGAAGCTGTTGTAGAGGAAACTGCATGACCAAGGGTAGAGGAAATTGAAAAGTTTATTGAAGAGAAACGTGCTGGAGTTTACTACCATATATTTGCATCCTTTGTCTCAAGTATCCCTCTCCTACCGCAACAATGCCAACTCTCCACCATCTCCCCCACTCTTCTGCACCCCCAGTGGCATCTATCGGGTCAGCAACAGCAGATGCTCCAGCTAGTGTGGGACTATCAACAGGATGGCTGGCACGCACACAGGAAAGCTGGACACTTCTGGAGAGTGCACAAGGAGCAGAAATCTTCTCTGCCTTCCCCTCAACAGAAGCTCTCATCATCTGGATTGCTCTACCACCCCACCAACATGCATGAAACCAACAGAAACTTCCCAGCCTTTGACCCCTCTACAAAATTGACCACTGGAAAGATATTTATCAAATTATGACCTACATGCAATTGCTTTGCAGCATGTTAGAAAAGTATTTAGCCTAAGGCTCCAAGAGAGACAAATTCTTAAAGTTCTTCACTAGGAAGGCAGTTATTTACATTGTGATGTTCTCGGTAAAAGTCTACGGAACTAGCATAACAGAGCTTTTTAAAGCCTGAAAGTTGAATTTTAGTTGCTGACAAAAGAAAGAAGTCTCTATACATGCTAGGAAAGGCTGCATGCTAAATACACAATGGACAACAGTAATACAGAAAAGTACTAAATCGAGGCTCAGGCATAACTGTTTGGTTATTTAATTTAAGAGGTTTAGATTTCTGCATAATAACTACAATTAAAGCTACTGCTAGTGGAATTGCAGCAGGCTATTCCATATCCAAACTATTTCCTGTACAATGCAAGGACAAAACAGCACTGATGCATATCTAAACATGACCAGAAAAAATATCCTCGTTCATCAACCCCGCTCCAACTCCTTCTTGTTATGGGCCTATCTTGTGAGTTACTAAGTTTATCTATTTTGGCTGGGAAACTATCCCAGAACCCTGGGATCCGCTGATTAAGCAACTATTTCTGGATTTAACAGGATACTTGTAGAGAAAGGCATCAACATACAGCAGCACAAGCCAATACAGCACTATTTATATAGTTAGCACTGGAAGTAATTTAAGCGAGCTGTGAACAGAAGCCACTGCTTGCATTTAGTGGCCTAAAAAAAAAAATCTATCCCTGTTTTTTAGTATCTTCTTGAGAAAATGACACAATGCTGGAAGACAGACTGTCAAAGTAAATTAAAGCTAATCATAAAGTGAGAAAAAAGATGTCCTAGGAGATCAGCTGTGCCTCTTCAGCACTTGCAGCTTATACAGATAATTTGCAGATGAAGGAAAACCGGAAAGGTCGAGAGACAGTAATTGCTTTAAAGGCCAGAAGCATGATTTGACAACAAGGGGGTATGAAGTCTGCTGCAGCATTTTACTTGTGTCTCTGTAGTTCTGCTTTGTCTGTTCTGTATGATACCTCCATACAAAAAAGTATTCTAAACTCTGAGCTGCCCAGGAACAAGGTATCTCCAAGAGGGTTTTCTAGTACATAGTACCTTACTAATTGTCACTATCAAAATGCAGGCAATCAGAGCATCTATTCTTGTCTTCTAAGTGCCAATTTAAACATAAAATACTAAAGGAGACCAGGGAGGATTTTTGAAGCAATATGCAGTACGTTTATAATAATAAATCTAGTAAAAATTAAGTCATCGACTTACATCTTCATATAACGGTGAACATCAGCAGGGAGAGATGATCCATCAAACACAAAATCTTCCACCATGACATTTAAGGTTAACCTTGACCTCCAGTGAGAGACAGGTTCATCAAGAGCATTGGTCTGTTTTTCTGCTTCAATTTGCTTTGAAAATACAATAAACATATGTACTGCTAAACAATACAGAATTTTGAATAGGATAATACTCTAACTCACAGAAACTATGGAGTCATTAACTGTATCACAAAACAGAAGCCCACTAAGAAACACTTTACCTTAAATTTGTCCAGACCAAGTACTCTGCTCAATTATGACAGAATGGATTGTAAAGCCTCACCATAATCTGACACTGAGAAACTTCAGTGCCCATTCACCACCCTGTTCATCAAGAACGAATATTCAACTAATTAATCTTAATACCTTAGGAATCTGGATACTAGTCAGAAAAAGTCACTTTGAAGTAAGGACTGTAGAGTAATCAGGTATCACTTCAAAACAGTCAAAAGGATGTGGATGATCAACCATATTTATAGTGGGCAGTAAAAAGATCAGACCATTCGTTCTGAACTTCTGAGCTCCCAAATGGTGTATAAAGTAGTGCTGAAACCAAGTATGACCTTTGCTTTCAGCAGATGCTTATCCCCAGGGCATTTTACTTGCTTTTCTTTGGATGACCACCACCTGTTCTGACTTTTAGTGCTGGACTCTAGCCTCAACTCATTTTCAACTTTATTCTGGCAGGATTTAGACACAGCACTGCTGGCTACAGGTATGTTTCAGGTTCCAAAGAATAACAGAGTGAAATTCTCAAGCTCCACTTAATATGAGGCACAACAGTCACTCACAAGCATTTCATTAAATTTCATTTTCATTTAATTTTTCCTCACCCTGGTGAGTAATCATAGTTTTTGCCAAAGGATACTATCTTACTCTCTTGAATTGAAGTGGAAAGTAAGTACATCCTAAAGAAAAGGAAGCAATTTGACATTGGTCACTCACCAATGTCAAAATCAAGTCCACATCTCTGTTTTATAAAAGCAAAGCATATTATTTCATATGAATCCAATTCACTGTAGAAAGTAGCATCATGCTGTTACAGAACAATAGAGTATTTCTACCAAAAGCAATGAAACCTTAAGGAAGTTATTAACGTGGACTAGGGAAGTGTTTTAATAGCAGCCAGTGTTAGAGATGGCTCTACCTCAGCTGTGATGAGTGGTCTACTACGAGTGTACAAGCTGATAATCAAGAAAAGGGGTTTTATTTTTCCCTAATATCATCATTAGTGTAAAGATGCAAACATAACAGATGCTAACATTAGAAGGGTCTATAAAAGAATATTTTTTTTTTTTTCAGTTGCTCGTCTATAGATGGAAAACACACTTACCTGTGTGGCTGATTCTCCAGTGAGCAGATTAATCTCTTCTGGTTTGGGGACCATGTATGTGGTCAGAGGGCTTACTATATGCACCTGCTTAGCGTCATGCCAAGGCAAAATGCCAGCATGATGAAGAAATATATATGCATATAATGTGCCATTATTTCGGGTTTTCTTTGGTACAGAGACATTCACCGTCCTAAAATGAAAAATAAGTACATTATGAGATGGTACAGCACATGTTGAAATACTTAGCTATTACATATAAGGATCACCAAAGATGCTCTGGAAAGAGACAAGAAAAGTTTGGGGACATAAAATAAAAAAAGGAGACAAGACATTTGGGTTGCTTGGCACACAACAATTAGTTCTGGCTAATATGTCCTAATGAGCTGTGGCTGGATAGGGTCAATTTATATCCTCCAGTATGTATCATAATATTTGCATTTCTGAAGTTTTACTGTTATCTTAAGATGCTTTAGTCTTTGTCCAATTCGTCCTTTATTACCCTAGATAATACAGGACTGCATCATCAGTTCTTTTGTCGTTTTACCCTGTCAACAGGTCATAGGGCCAAAATTATCACACCGCTTGTAGAAAATTGCCTTCTGCATGCTGAATATGTATCATAGAACGTATACACAATAAAAAGTCTGAAAAGCAAATCACCAAGTTTTGCCAAGCGCTTTGCATTAATAAAATATCTTCTCAGCTATGGCATGCCAAGCACAGAACTCTAGACTGGAGCCCCAAACCATCAAGTCACTCCCCTTGTGTTAGCCAAGAAATCATCCTACTTGCAACCTTACATAACGCCTCCTTTATTCCTGTAAACTTGGTCAGGTTATTTTTCTCTGAATACCTGCAATGGCTTAGCAGACTGTGTCAGTAAAACAATTCTTGTATTTTCAAGTCCGTCAGAGGTGAAGTTTAAAAAGACCTATTAAACTTCATCTCTGCAGACCAACGTCTTCTTTAATTACAGAAAATGCAGAATGTGAAAGAACCTGGGAAACTCTGCGACAAGACAGGCAAGAATAAGGCAACTACTTTAATCACAGAAAAAGCGGGGCAGCAAATATGAAGCACAAAACAAGAAGTTCTAATCATTTTAATTGTGGAGAGGCACAGAAAGCGCAGTGTTACACTTGGAAATTTGTCTAAGGGCACAGTCTTATTCCATCTTAGCATCAATATCCCTTCAGAAGATCCTGAAACCCTAAACCAGCAGAAAAAGAAGGCTTACTTTTACAGTTATTAGCACGGGAACAGTTATAGAAAAGCACGTTGCTAAAATACAAGAAAAGAGAGCACAGTTAGACTTCCAAGTTCTATTCTGGGTCTGAAGCCACAGCCATTAAGAACATCACACAGCTGGCAGACTGGCAACACATGTTATCAGAGTTAAGTCTCAAGCATTTCCAGGCACTCTGACTTAGATTTTCACAATGGAAAGCGATTTTTACTATTATAAGCAAAACACACTTTTGTAAGAAATTCGCCTGTATGACTGAAAACAGTATGTTGACCCAAACTAATGAGTACTTAAGTTCAGCACATCATGTGTACATTACTGATCTAGTGCGGCTAGCAAGATGAATGTTTAGAGTGGAATCTGAAAATTATGTTAGACAGCATAGGACAGTGTTCAAGATCTGCAGAATCTCTATGAGAGAAACAAGCATTCTGTATTTACTAGTATAGCCTTGTTTTGCAAGCTTTGTTTCTTGTAACTACAGCATGATGTTCAATGTAAGAAAATTTAACCTAAGAGCCTATTCTTTATACTTTAAAGAGAAAAAGACTGCTTTTATTAACAGCAGCATGTCATCCTCAACTCTAAGGCTGAAGTCCAACTAATATCTTTCCTGCCTTAACATGGCAAATACAGTTTGTGAAAACAAGTGTGAACTGAACTGAACAGCCTGTACAGCACGCAAGAACAGCTTTAACCCCAAAACAAAGAATGCAAGAAGAGCAGCTCTACTCTTTCAACACAACTATCACAAACAGCCTACCTTCCTGCGTGCATACCTCCTTCCATACGTGGAACTAGTTAGGATACACACTTCAAAATTTAACAAAGAACTCGTAGGTCAGGTACCTACCTTTCAAATTTGGACTCGATATCAAAATCCTCCACGTTCAAAACCAGATCTATATTGCTCTCTGCACCAAGGTTTGACCGTGTGGTAGTATACACGCTCAACTAAAATCAAAACGCAGCAGAGAGGAATCAGAGCACAGAAATACTGAACCCACGCACGAGTACAGAGCTGTACTTCAGCTTCGCCAATTTCCCCAGCCACACGACGGTTAGATGGACTGGGAAAGAAAACGACGCACTCAAAACCCCCACCCAGGCAGCTTTCGGCTGCTCCTCCCCTCCTTTTGGGGGCAGAGACACACCGTAGCACAGCCGCCAAAGCCGTTTTACTAGGATGACCCGTACTCGAAGTCAAAGCCGCCCAGGTAAGCGGAGCCACTTCTGCAGCACGGCTGCTCTGTGCGGCGTACGCGCCTCGGACACGCGAAAGGGAAAAATAAAGCGTGCCCTCAGCCTGCCGCCGCGGCCGCCACCGGGCAGGCGGCACCCGCAGCCCCACGCGGGGCGAACGAGGGAGCCGCGCCGCCGGGCAGCCCACGCGTGACCCCAGCTGTCAGCCGCGCCGCGCCGGGCGGTGAGAGGCCCGGGCGGGCCGCCGCCTCTGCCGCCGGCGGCCCGGGAGCGGAACCCACGCGGTACCGCGGAGCCCGTTCCGCGGGGTGGCTCGCTGAGGGGCCCAGGCGGGGTCCCGCCGCCCCTCTGGGGGCCACCGCGGCCGCGCCCCGCTCACCTGCAGCTTGGGCCTCCGCGCCAGGTAGGGCCAGACGCAGCCCGCCCCGCCGCCGCCGGTCGCCGCCGCCGGGCAGGGCCGCGTGTAGACGATGCCGTACATCACCCAGCACGTGTGCGCCACGTACACGGCGAACACCCCCACCACCAGGCTGGTGAACGAGCTGCGGCTCAGCATGGCGGCGCCCGCCCCGCTCGGGATCACCCGGGGCCGCCCCACCGCCGCCGCCGCTCGCGCATCGCCCAACCGCCCCGCCCCGCCCGTCACTTCCGCCGGGAGCTCCGCCCCGCCCCGCCCCCCCCGGGCGGGGCCGCGCCGCGCCGCTAGGGGGCAGTGGGGGGGGAGGGGGGCGGAGCGATGGGCGGCGCCCGCGGGTGTGCGCGGCTGGGGGCGGGGCATGGTCGTCCCGCGTGGGTTCCGGCCCCCTCACGACAGTTTGGGTGCTGCGGGGGCCCGAGGTGTGAGGGGAGCAGCCCCGTGGGGGGGGGGGGGGGGGGGGCAGGGGGAGAGGAGGCTCCGCAGTGGCACTGTGGCCCTAGCCCGGCCCTCCCCCCCCCCCCCCCACGGCAGCAACAGCTTAGGACTTGTGACACAGGAATGATAATAAAAAATAATAATCCTTCACCATTCCAACTAAAATTACCTTTGGTAGACAGATTGAAAGGTAGTGTAAAATATATATATATATGTAGTATATAGTGTAAGACGCGAGCGGGCCCCCGTGGCCCTCGGGTGTGCGCCGGCCTGGTGGCCGCCGGAGGAGCAGGATGAGGGGCGCGTACCGCAGGGACACCGCAGTCCAGGGCTGCGGGTAGAAAAGTCACGAGCAGGGGTGGGAGATGGCCGCCCCGGCAGCTCAGCGAGGCGGCAGGACGGGGAGAGCCCCCGCGACACGCAAGACCCAAGGGAGGAAGGGGGGGTAGGGCCGAGGCGGCACCGCAAGCGCGTGGCGGGGTGGAAAGGCCACGGGGGAAGGTGGAAAGGGGCCGTCTTCTTTGCGAGGAGGAAGTGGTGAAAGGCGGGGAAGGAGAAGGGGGCACGATGTGACGGCAGGCGGCTCCTGCTGCTCCCTTGGCACAGACCGGGCCGCCTGGAAGGGCGCGGGCAGGGGGGAGGCGGGAAGGGCCGGCCGCAGGCTCGGGCCCGCCGGCCGCCCCTGCACCCCGCAGCACAGCGGCGGGGGAGGCTCTGCCCTGGCAAGCAGCAGGGGGGAAACAGGGTTAAAAGCAGACGGTGTCAGGTAGGGGAAGCTCTCCCCCTTGGGAGAAAGCATTTTGCGCGTTTCCAGATCTGCAGTTATTTCATTAACGTTAATCGCTTCCATTTTCTAATGAGTAAGCCTTTGTGAAAGCGTGCTGCATTCTGATAGCATCCTCTGGCGTTGGTTAAAACATTTTATAGTGCAAATCTACTTTCATAACTGTAGAGCAAATAAATTATTTGCATTTTAGCGCAGAAGAAAAAGGAAAAATACATATAAACAAAACCAGGTTCTGGTTTAAAAGCTTTTCTTCATAAGAAAGCATGCCACGTTGCTGCATGACTAGTAGGTCCTCCCTGAAAGAAGAAATAACTAGATTAAATTTTGTTTTGGACAAATACAGTATTCAATTTTTTTCTTACATAGAATGAAGTTACATGCATTTGCTGTCACCTACAGATGTCTATTCTTTCACAAAAAGCCCTGCATGACTAACCTGACTCGGGCCAGAGAACATCCTCAGAATCTGTATCCACCTCGTAACTTGATATGAGAGACTAAGAAGTCTTCCCTTGAAGCCTTCATATTGTGATGAATGTACATAATTTCTCCAGTAAAATTTCCCAGTGTTTCACTTGTATTCTTAAAAATGTTCATATTAATGATTCAGCTTATATCCGCTGGACCTCATAATGCCTTTCTCCAACCTGTTACGGATTTCCCACGTATGTAAGTACCTGGAGTGTTGGATCACTTCTTCTCTGTTTCCTGGATAAATAAAAGTAGCCAGAGCTACTTCAGTCTAATTTAGACAGGCTTGTTCTCCAGATTTCTGGAGCGCCTTTTCTGAATCTTTTTTGATCCCTTGATATTCTTCAGGCACAGAAAATAGAGCTGGAGTCAATATCCCTGTCATCCTTAGGGGAAACAAAACAAAATTACCAATAGCCAAACCAAAAAAAACCCCACCCTTAAACCTCTGTATTTCATAGTCCCAAGTTGTCAGGTAAATAACCACTGTTCTCCTACACGCATGGCCCCAGAGAACATGCACCAGCAAAGCACACCTAAACATACACAGACTCAGTCCTATTCACAATTATGATTTGTATACTTTCCCTTATTGTAAACCTTGTTTATGAAAAAATTAACAAAAAAAAAAAATCCAGAAGAAACCCAAACATTTTTCTTTTCATTTTTAATTTGGCTTCACGCTGAAAATTCAATTTACAAGCGATTCATAAGGAAAATGTCCAGCTGGGCAGAATGAGCCATGATTGGATACTGCACATCAACACTTGTAGTGTATCATTTAGTTCCCTTTTTGTAAATCAGCATACGACTTATCTAGATAGCATAGCTTAAGCATCTACATCATTTGGCTCAGTTCATCACACGCTATAGTCCATTTCAACCTATCAGACAACTAACAAGAAAAGAATGCTCAATTTGAGGTATTTCCTTTAAAAATTGACTGATCACTGGTATTCAGAGGTAATGTTAAATCATATAGTTTTAAACATTGAAAAATGTACAAAACCAAGTTCATTTTTTTAAAAAATATCCTCGGTCTTCCATGCATGTTAATAAAAAATATAAAAATCAAATTTGTAGCACTGAAGCTATACTTTTAATTCTGCAAAAGTACTTCCAGCATTGGAACCACAAGCTACAGTCATCTTCAGTACACTACTTGTTTTTGCTTTTCAGTTATGAAGTATAGTCAGTTCAGTGCCAAGGTAATAGTCTATGTACACATACCAGAGGAGGAGGGAAATTTACAGCAGAAAGTACGCAGTCAGATTATTATTATTATTATTATCCAGTAGCACTATAGGTTGTTAGATTTACACTGCATATCCAAGGGCTATTATAACAAAAAGCTTGCAGCCAATACGCGTCTTTAAACACATCAGGTCTGCTTGAGCAGCCTCGAAGTCAACAAAAGTTATACCAAGATGGAACAAGCACATAATACCTTGCAAGTGAGTTCCTACAAAACAGCTTCCTGATCTGTCAGCACAGGTTTTCAACTAAAAGCATCCTCTTCATGGCAGTGCCTAACTTGGCTTCGGTAGCGGTAAGAGAATATTCCAAAATTTGATGATTTAAAAGGTTAACTACTTTGCCTTTGCATTTAAATTCTCAAGTGCATTCAAAAACACAGCAGTACTTTTTCAAAAACACATAAATTACATCATCAGTGCAAGTTTAACAATAATTCGAGAGATCAAAACCATTTTTCCCTCCCCCTGAATTATTTCTCAGCTTGCTGGTAGCTCAATTTTATTCTTCCAAAAACTCGAATTAGTACCTGCGATCAAATTAGGAATGTCTTGCACACCTGGAGAGATGCTGGCAATTACAAAAAAGTTCAGAAAGTGGTCCCATGGAACAGATGCCAAATACTTTCAGCACAATGCTGCAACACTGAAATTGTATAGTATATAATACAAGGTTAGCAGATGCTTAGTCTTGGTCCTCCTCCAGGAAACAAAATCTAGGACTTCTAAAGAAATTTACTTCTGACTTCTATTTCTAATGTTACTGATTTACATAGAGCTCTTATTACCCCTAGAGCAATCTGAGAAAGCAATATAAACAAATCACCAAACACAAGCAACCATATCGACAAGCAGCTGCAATGGTTTCGCTTTTTGTCTAAGTATATACAGTTTCTAAGGAGAGACATTTAACTTACGGAATTCTAATCCACATATTTAAAAATACAATTACATTTTTTGAGGTTTACTTAAAAACTGTTTTTGTGGTCGGGAAAGTACAGCACTGGCTAACCTAAACATCCCTTCTGAAATATAAGAAATATTTTGCTTGAACTTCATTATAAAAGAAAACATAGGACAAAAATATATACTTAGGGCATACAAGATCTTTACAAGTTTATTTCTTTAGCATTTAAAATACAAAATTATCTTCATGCTGGATAGTGAATAAAAGACATGTATTGGGTTTTCCCCATATACATTCATAGACTTAGAAATAACCTATTGTCAGATGAATTTCATTTCCAGTACCATGGTAGGATGAAAAGTGTCTGAGCTTCAGCTTTCTTCAGTATCCATGAGGAGACTTTGTTTGCTAATCACATTTATAGATGCTGCATTTGGAACTTGAAAGTAAACAGGCACACACTGAAAGTGACACAGCGAGTCTGAAGTCAATCCAATTTAAGGCTTCATTGTACTATATTTCTAAATTTAAATTCTTACTGCCCATAGGAACAAGGAGAATCTCATAAGCTCTTTCAGATCTGCTGTTACCTGGACACACACCTGCAGCAGTTAAAGCGGGGGAAAAGAAAAAGCAATCCCTTACCTAACGCAAGACACAAGCTAAAGCCATACATGGGCTCTTGGTTTTGGGTGGCATTACCAGAACAGGACTTTGATATTCACCTGCCGCTTACGGCTCAGGGAGAAAAGCCCATAAACGTCACTTAAGCTTAAGAGGCAGCGAGGTCTTCCTGCAAAGAACGGACAGCACAGGCAAGAGCTAGGGATACAGAAAACTGAACTCACCAGCCCAAGAGGCAGAAAACGTCCTCCTTTACTGTGGGAAGAGCCACTGCACAGTGAGAGCTCTGCTGCCGTGCTAGCCTTGAGGGGCTTTTCTGCTGCCTGATTCAGGATCGGAAGTTCAGCCTGATTTTTCTCCAGCAGACTCTTTGGCTCAGAACGGGCACTCTCAAATAACACCCCATTCATAGTATCAAAATACTGTATTGCAAAAGTCATTATGACTTTTCTCTTGCTTCTAACGTTTTTGGTCAAAGTGAAAAAACTGAAACTTAGCACTCTATTGACAGATGATCGTACAGCACCTTTTTTGAGATCCCCAAGCCAACCCCAAGAGAGCTCTGATGTCCATACGGCCCTGTGCAATTTAGCTCAGAATAAAGCAGCCTGACACCCATGTTGGTAAAAAAAACAACCAACCAAACAGAAACCAAACAACCTCCAAATTCGTTAATTGACAGGATTAATTTACTCAGGTGCAATCTGTGCTAAGGTGACTCTACAGTTTCCATTCCCACAAGCTGATCGTTTGAAAACTGCCAGTATGTCTTCACCAGTGACAGATGGCCTGCCCGCCTCAGCCTGCACAGGAGTACTCTGCTCTGCCACCGTGCTAAAGAAAATGGAATAAGCAGCCGCTGCCATCACACAACTCGTAAAATCATTTCGCCTAACGAACTTGCAAGACAATCTAGGCAGAGTGGCAAGTGCTGCAAAAAAGGTCTTGGCATATTTCACAGAAACATGAACCCTCCGTTTTGTAAGCCTCTTAAACGCTCTGCTCTCTTGGTATCACCCGCTTCAGTTTAATCCCATTACACGTGACAAAGCACATCATACCATCTGGGGGAAAAGCAGATGTTTTGTACAAAACAAATCACTCCTCCACCTGTATAAAACAAAGTAATTATGATCTTGAAACCAACCTAAAAGGTTTCCTAGAGAAAGAAACTGTTTTAACTTCATTACTGTGAGATGCAGGAAATATTCACAGGCGGGAGTCCGGGCACATCTAATGGCTGATCTGTTTGCAGTAGTTTTACGTTAATATGATATAATTTATGCACATTTTGATCACAACATCTTGGTGACTAACATATATACGCAGTTCACTGCCTTTGCTGTAGCACAGAACGATCGTGTTTGTTCCTTGGAGGTGATGATGGAGGATTTTACCTTTAACGAGGCCTTTCTTACGAGATTCCTGTCACAGTTTGAATACTTTCTGCCAGTCTTGTAAGGAAGAAGGCAGGGAGAGCAGGTGAAGCCTCACAGGCTGTGCTGCCAGGGACCTAGACATTACTTGGGTACACGATGCTGCAGTGCCTTCAAATCATCACCCTCTGACTGAAGAACAGCAGGCTTAATTTCTACCTAGCTCGGACTGAAAATTTACCTGAATGACAATCTCAGTCTGCCTGCTCATCTGTGAAACAGATCTTGCAGTTTTGCTGGACTGATTAAGAATTGCTTTAATTAACAACTAATTAACAAGGGCACTGATGATAAATTCTTACTTTCCATTTTGAACTGTTGGATTTACACTTCCTTCTTTTTCTGTAAAGGAACTAGCCATATTAATTGGGCAATTTAAGTTTTTGAAATTAGCTGAAGTTCAGATACCTAAAAAGTAACAAACCACTTGAAGTCCTTGGTTCACAGTGAAATTCTGTGCTTCAGCATGAGTTCAGGAGCCAAACTTAAGTTTCGCTAATGTAAAACTCTTGGCCAACCTATTTGTCATTTCTCAATTCTAGAACACTCATGAACGTGCTGCTAGAAAAAAAAAAAAACAAAAAAAACAAAACAAAAAAAACAAAACCAGAGGCTTCACATTAAGCAGAATGCAACATTTCAGAAGGTCTTACAACCCACACTCTGACCTAAAGGAAAACTAATCTGTCTTGGCCAGTTTTAAGCAGATTTTTTTCATCTCTCCATCCTAGTTCAGTCCCATAATATATGCAAAGCTGTGCTTACAGGGCTTTTCTGAGATCATGGGATCTACAGCATGTGCTGCTCAAGTTCTGCAACTTGTATTCTTTAAGTTTTGTTTTGGTTTTTTTTAAATGAAAATAGCATTTTTGAAGGAGCAGAGAGCAGAACGTGGCTAAGACAGTTAACATGAAAGGCTGTGCTCACTGCACGGCAATATACAAGTAGGAAGAATAATTTAATGGCAGTAACAAAGATGGCCTCGTAAGGGAACTCTGATATAAACATATCTGCTCGAGAAAATTTATCAAGCTATCCAGATGTTGAAGTGCAACAATCCCTTTTCCCAAAAAAATGTTTACTACATTTTAAGAGAAAAAAAAAAAATAGAAATATTCCAACCAGCTCAATGCTTAAACTAGCTAAAAAACCCTACTCAGTTTACATGAAAATATTAAGAAACACCTATGTACAAAACTTAACTATTTACTCCCAGGAGTTTTGCCACTAAAGAGGGTGCATCACTTCCCTACTGCCCGTGTCTCCTTTTCAACCTCTGTGACCTAAGGATTTATACCTACAAAGTGGGATTAGCAAACACACACAAGTCTGATTACTTTATAATCACAGTGAGATTACTGTAGTGACAATAAATGCGTTGCAATGTGTAGTGTAATTCATTGCTATAACATTTAGCGTACAACCTAATTTGTGCAAAAAGCTTACCAATTGCCTGTAATGCCTTTTAAGTGTATCTGCACTTGTCTTACTGTGGTAGAGACAGTGGTTTAAACATGCTTTGCACCTCCTAAACATTTGTTTGCTTTTAGTGGGGTTTTATTAGGTTTGATGGAAGACGAATGAAGCAAAAAAAAAAAAAGGACATTTTTTAGATATCTTGAATTTTGTGGTTTTCTATGTTACTTTAAATACCTTCAAAGTATCATACTTGTTCAGAATAGCAAAGCTTTGGCTGGATATCTCAGACAATATGTAAAAATTCAGTCTGATGGAAGAGGCCTACTGGCAAGGGATGGCAGTATTACATAAGTAGTAAAATGCTCGTCAGAAATGCCACATGCTTTCACACCCATGCATTTTTTTGTTTCAGCATCATTTAAGTTAAATTATTGTAAAGAGCTGAAGTAATTTCTTCATATGTCTCCCTGTAAATTTAGGGTCTGTTGATATCCCCAGTTAAAATAAAGCAATGCATTTGTAAAATCTGTAATATTTTAATTGAAAGCATTTACGTGTCAACATTTGGTGAAGGGGAAAGGAAGCTTTCACTTCCACCCTGACGCTGGAGCAAGCCACTGAAACTTGACTGTCAGAACCCAGCTGTTCCAGTCGGGTGCCTTTTAAAAAAGGCGACTTATGTGGAACTACTGAAACATTTCAGCAGTCAAGAGTTCAGCAGATGAGTTGCAACAAACATTGCTGCAGTAATACATGTCACAGGTCTCAGCCTCGATAAAGCCCGAGTTTACCACCCTACAGTAACTACGAGGCAGTCTAATATTATAGCCTTATATTCTACAGATGCTAAAATCACCCGAATTATATTCAGCTGTTGTGACATTATGCACAATCTAACAATGTTTCTATGCAGGCTGATCAGGACTGCACCCTGTCATTCATCCTATTATGACTCTATCTTGATTCAACGGTATCACAAAAGAGGGAGCATTGCACTTCATTACAGAATTTAAGTGGTTTTTTTTTTTTGTTTGTTTGGGTTTTTTGTTTTTTTTTGTTTTTTTTTTTTTTAAATGGTTGCTTCCACCAAGAGTACTTGCTCACCCAGGAAACAATGCGCTGGCCACCAGCCCTCTTCAGCAGCAGCTCTGGACCGAACTCCCTGACACACGTGACTTTCGGTGCCTCTTCACCACGCACGGTGGCATTTGTTTGTTTAAGGGCCCGTTTACTGTAGGCTGCAGCACCCTTCAACCCAAACGCTCTGCACAGCTCAGCTGCACGCAAGCGCAGCTAATTAGACTCACCCCAATTCAAAAGCATCTCCCTCACCAAAACAAATACGAAACCAAACGAACCCTTTGGTTTTCAGAAGGCAGACTCCCAAGTTACACGTGCCACACAAGCAAACTAGCTCACGCTCATTTATAGCCAACTTCAACCAGCTTGCTTTGCTCTTTCGCAGATGTGGACAGACTACCTCTTCCTCTGGAGCTTCTCTCACCTCAAAGTTGTCCATGGGATACTAAGCTCACCTTTTCCTTTTCAGACACGTCTCAGGGAACTCTCTCTCATCCCCTGCACTCTGAAATTTTTACACTCCCCAGCTCCCATACAAAGCAAGAGAGAACTATCTGAGACAGCCAGCTTGTGCCACGTGCCATAAAAGGTCTTGCAGAGGAGATGCAATAGGCCCAGACTACAGTTCATGTGCCTTCCCTTATATACCATCTAAAATACATACTGGATAATGGCAGAAAGCAGACCTCAGGGCATATCCCCATGACCCTGGGGCATGATCAACAAAATCAAGTGTTTCCATCTTAGCTGTCTGCCTGTTTTCAAAACCTCCACTGAAGCAAGGTTCCTCACCCTACCTGGAATAACCTATTTTCCTTAGCTTAATTAGGTGTATTGCAGGGAAATTTTCCTAATACTTAACTCATCTTTCAAATGAAGCACCTGTATCTATCATTAATATGGAAAAAAGACTGTTCCTATCTCCTCTCTAGCAACTTTTTCTATATTTGAAGACTGTTTTCACATCTTTCTTCAGTCTCCTCCTCTATGGATTAAAGAATACTTCCAATTTTTTTTTTGAGTACTTTCTGTCCTCCAGACCCTGTCCAGCTACTCCCCATCTTTCTCAGGTGTACCTGTCCATGCTGGGGCTTCAGGTAAGACCTTGTCACACCTTGGTAACACAGAAATACCACCACACTTCTCACAGGCTAGACTGCTGATACATCCCACTGTAGCAGTGAGTTAACAGTGCTCAGTTTGTCGTATTCTATACCATCCCTGCCCCAAGATGTTTTATGCAGCAATACCCACTCCCTCCTCTGTGTAGCTATTTCTACCTAAGGCATGTGAGGAAGTACACTTATTTTTTCAAACCATTTCTCCTATTTTTCATGTTCAGTTTTAAATCAAATCTTGTCTGCCGGTCTGCTGCAGCCCTGTCAGCTTGGCATGAGTTACCTAGAGAAATCAAAAATTTAATTATTACCTCCAAATGAGGACCTACTTCCACACACCACACAGAAAGCATAATTTCTTACATTTTTTTCCCCCATACCCTTCCTATTAAAGCCAGTTTCAGCAAGGAGACTTGCCACATACAGTTAGGGATTTCTAAGGACACATTCCTATACCCTCATGAGCTTTAAAACACCTGCTACTTAAAAAATAGTAATAAAAGCACTTTGTACAAAGATTTCCTTCTGCTAAAAATTCCTCCCTTTCAAATCACTCTAACATGTGGAAGATTCAAATCTCAACAGTTTTCCAAACAGAAAACCATCATATTTTAGCAGAGCCCTACAAAATTAGTCATAGAAATGATTTGAAAGTATTTTTTGTTTGAAAGTACAGTTGCCATCAGAGTTATTTTGCGTCAGAGTCCTCCTTCCTACTCCTTGAGGCTTTTGTCACATTTACTAATTGGTGAAGCTATGTGGTTTTATAATAACCTAAATTTTTCTCTGAGACCTCCATTGGTAATTAAGGCACCTGGCTTTACAAAAGGAAAGCTAAGAAATGTTATTAGTACAAGTGGTTTAGGTGGTGTTTTGTTTTGTTTTTTTTTTTTTTTTTTTAGCACTTCTGAACTATTTTAAGCTTCATCTACGTTATATGCAGTATATGTAATGTTGCTATAGAGATTTAACTAGCATTTCTTCAGGATGTTCTGCAACTTGTTGCTGGCTTGGCCTCTGAAGTAACTGCAATATTTTCAAACTTGCGCTGATACAACGAAGTTTTCATAATATGTTCCATGCTAAATTATCTGTGTATACAAAAGAAATCTGTGAATCTCAATAAATCTAGATTGAATACAACTGTGTAAACATCTCCCATTTTAATGTTGGGTGGACATGATTTGAATTGATTGTAGGAGAAAAGCACAAACAGTTTGGTCATGGATTTGCAAACAGTATGTGGCATGTCAGTTCGGAAAAAAATTCATGTTTAATTGCATCTGGAACATTACAGTAGAAAAATGTTGGCGTGAGGGATAAGGAGCTTTTCCTTTTCATTCTACCATGGAATAGACTGAAAGAGAAACAATTTTGTCATTCAACAATAAAAAGTAATCCTTAGCAAGTTTTTGCATTATTGTTTCCAAACTGTTCACTGAAACCAAAACAAAGGGCCAAAGTATGCTTGCCTTGCTCAAGAGAATAATCCCACTGAAATCAACAAGACTGACTATGCAAATGCGGGCAGCAAAGTTTGGCCCCAAATAAACATCCCCATAACTAGGGAAAACACTAATCACCAAAGTGCACTTAACACCATAGTAGCTACAGTTTCTTTATACATGCACAGTTTGTGCGACACTTTGTACATGAAACTAGTCAATGGAATATAAATAACTGTGCTGCTTCCTTTTAAATATGAACATTAATAATGAAGCACATTCACATTTTTGCCTTTCAAAGACCTTTTTGAAAAAAATAAAAACACCTTCCCCAAAGTAATCTGGAACATGTTGTTAAATATAGCACATATGATTCAAATAACAGTATTAAGGTAGAAGAACTTTCACACACAAAACTGATATTTGCTGTAGAGTTGGAGTGACTTATGAAAATCCCAAGAAAAGACAATCCTCTCACCAGGAGAGGAAGGTAACAGTTGTAGTGTTAATTCAGTTTCTTCTGCAGGGGCTTGTTTTTATCTTCAGCGTTTTCAGGGCTGAAGTCAGTACAGATACCATTAGGAGCAGAAAGAGATGAAGTCTCCAAGCCACTCTCAGCTCCCATCTGATCAGCATAGAGATAGTCTTCTGCAAAGTGTGGGTGCAATTCAGCAAATCTGTAGAAGTCATCTAAAAAAAAAAATTGTTGTTACACAGAATCAGCTCTTTGAAACAGAAGGACGCTAAATTTGAGCACTTACACATATATAATCACATGATCACTTTGGAGAAAAATAGCAGCAGTTAACATAATGCTATCCCCCCATAGCTTGTTTTAGCCTCTCAGCAGAAGTTTACCACATCCCCAGGGCTGATATGCCGCAAAGAGTTATCTAAGCCCTCTTAAAACACTTCAGACCAGAGCTCAGCTTGTATGGCAAGGGGTAAACAGGCTCAGATTTGCATTAAAATGCACGAGGAGCACCACAGGCCCTGACACAGCATCTCACTGTTCATTGGGGGAAGGGCAGAAGCCCTCCAGCTGAGGAACAATGAACACCAAAAGCAGTCATTTCTTAAAATCTGGGAAGTCATTTGCAAATATGCCCTTTAATGTTTTGCCTTCAACTCATAATTCTCTTCAACCTGACAGCAGCTGTCATTGCTGTCTTCCACTTTCAAGATTTCAGCATTTCAGAACTCCTGATATTTTAGAGAATAATATTGTGAGAAGATAATTAATTTGTAATACATGAAAAAAAAAATATTTTCATGTTGGATACTAATAAGACAATAAAAAGAGCAGGATTAGTTCTTGGGGGAGTGGGGAATCCTTAGCATCAAGAAGTAACATTTTCTGTTAAAAATCAGACTTTGAAGCCTTGTCACAATTTGTCCATATCACTGTTTATTCAGACATGATTGGAACACAAGATCCTGTACAGGATCCAAGTCATAAGAAGCTATTCTTATAATGCAAACTGACACTGGAAGAAGCTGGATGTGAACATTATCACTAACTCAGTCACCTACAGCGTATCACACAGCCCACTCAAATTCACTATGTTATCCTAGAAGAGCTCATGATCAGACGATGCTGTGAGTTTCCTGGAGTGCAGCGCAGATGACAGCTGAAGTTGCCTTTCAGAGGCATGAAGCCCAGTTCCTCCTGGTACAACTGGGCTGGTGTGGAAGAAGGGAACTACCACAGCTTTCCCTTTCCAAGACAACACACACTCTCAATATGGCAGAGGGCAAGGGAATGTCATTTGGCTCACTGAAGTTGTAGGTCAGCCCTGCCTCTGAACTGTTGCAAAGGCATAGGTGGGGAGAATGCAATAAATGTAACTTTATCCCTCCGCAAACAAAAACTGGATATCATTTATCCAGTTTATATGGATCTAAAGTATTTTGGACTGTAACCTCAGAGAGGCTGGTGATGCTCAGGCCATGAAAACCAACACTACCATCTATGTTCAAAAACCTGTATGTACAACAGGCTGATTGATCACGTAAAAAAGATAAATTCTTCTTCCTATAATATTTAATGCAAGTTCAACTTAAAAAAAGACCTGATAGGAAAGAATGTGATGCATCTGTCCTTTTTCAAGGAAACTTAGAAATTTCTTTTATATTTGAAATATTTAACAGTGGTAGTAGTTGCAATAATATATTAGAAACACTCGAGTGCAAACTGATTAATCAGAATCAAAACAGTTAAGCACATTCAGTGAATCCAACTGAATATATTATTTTTCTGCAGCTAACAAGGAGAGAGCAATTGGCTATCAGCCTTAACCAGGTCTGCCCTGCAGCAGGACCGTGAAAGCATTCTCTTATTTCACATGGACACTCTTTAATCCCATCCCAAGGATCTATTACTTTTTGTAACAACACATGTACTGTGTGCATCACATTAATGGCCATGGAAACAGCAGCCTTTTTTGGGAAAGGTCATTGTGATAGTTAGCTCAACTAAGTTAAGACAAGTATAAAAATTTCAACCAACAGTACCCAAGATGCTCCTACAGTCACAGTAAGCATAGTCCTTTTTTTATGGGAAGGACTAGAATATTGACTGTAGATGCCATTCTAAGTAATTCTTCAAAAAGCTACTGTATCTTTTCAGGAAATCCCCTGAGGCAGTTGTTCACACAAGTATGACAGTCTATATCCAAATCGGCATCCTGACAACTCTGTCAGGATCCATTCCTCAATTTTTTATCAGTACTAGATATCCAAATGAAAAACCTCTGATTCAAGGGAGGACTGAATTGAACAGGATAACATTTCTGATAGATCTTAACATGTAGATGTTTTGGGTCTTGCTGAAACAAGTCCTGAAGATATCAGGGAATATTTATCAAAGTTGTACACAGCAGAGCTCAAAGAAAAGTGCTTGGGGTCCCCTTTGTCTCATTCATCAGAAATGTGAGACGATGTGATACAGTAATAATGAGGTATTCCAGCATTACTTCTAACCACAGGTGTCATCTTGGAGCTCAAACTTAAAGCAACTGTGAAGCATTAGACTGGAGGAAAATATCACCTTAGTCATTTACTTGGGAAAAAAAGTAATTTTACTTCCTGGCCCTACTAAGAGGAAAGAGACAAAAAGAAGGAAAGCACCTAAAGTGGAATTCTTTAAGACTGCTGTCTGTACTTTTGCATTAAGTATGCATATGCACTACAAGAACTTCAAGAGGTTTTTCTCCTGCCTTTGCAACACCCTGCCACTACTCGATTCTCCTGATGGAAGCTGTATGTTCATGAATCTCCTCTAGTTTTTGTTCCCCCTCAGCTACACATTACTTTATGTACAGTAACTTAATAGGATAATCCTATGATTAATATAGGTAAGGACACTACATGTTAAAGAATAACTCTTCCTTCTCTGAATGTTCATCCATATGGATATTCACAATACTGTCAATCCTCCCTTTCTTCTTGTTACCAGCAAGCAAGGCAGAGTCTTCAGAATACTTTCACAGTCATCATTTGTCTCTCAAGGGCAGGTGGACAGTTTCCTAGAATTTGCAGTGCCCACCTACAGAATCTATTAAAATTCTCCAGAATCACGTTTTAGGATTTCTCAATCTTGCCTTTCTCTAGATTACAGTGAAAGGATGAGCTTTGTAATCAAGGTGCACCTAAACAATTAAGCTAACAGCAGACTGATTAAGAGAACTGAAACAGTACACAGATCTTTGGCAACTAGTGTATTTTCAAACATGCGACAAAAATCCAGACTTGTAGCAATTCAGGTTGAACATTATCAATGTAGCTACAAAATATCAGTTTTGCTACTGGTTATCCTGTTTACCTGCAACCTGAGCTTTTAATTGGGATGAGATCTCTTCAAGGACTCTGCTGTATGTGCTGCAGTTTAGGTTTGACACTTTGGGTATTTTATATTTCGTTCTTACAAGTAAGACCAAAGACTTAATACTCCTGCTTCACATTCTAATACCCTAGAAAGAAGGAGCTTGTGAGCAGACCCCTCTGCTGTGTGTATCCAAAGTAACGTCAGTACTCATCCACTGGATGCAAAGTTTTGATTTCTCAGACCTTGTCTGGACAATGCCTTCAGAAAAGGTATAGTTTGCAAATTTTCCACCTTTCCTTTCTCAGTACTTAAGTGCAATAAATTGAGCATGTGGAAAACTGCACATAATCTCAGGAAAGGCAAGAGATTGAATACTTCCAGCAAGAACTTTCAAGATAGAAATGTAATACCAGAAGTTTAGTTTCATCTTCTAATTCTCTATTACAATAAATTGGATATTTATTCTTACTATTAGGCTTTCAGATGTTAAAATCTCAGTGCAATGTTTGTATTATAAAAAGATTACTTCTCTCAGAAAAAGATCCAAGAAAAGGTTCAAAGAAGTGATGTAAGCACCATCCTACTTTGTGTAGCCTCACAAAAGGCTACTCTTGATTGCAGGAAAAAATAGTGAAAATGAGAGCTCAGCACTTCAGTGGCCACTGCTGTGGCCCATGGTCTAGATTTTCTTGTAATGGGAACATACTTTGACCACTCAAGGGTAAAGTGCAGCTTTAAATGCAACCGAGTAATATTAAAGATAGATATTAAAATACAAATTCTTTGGTTACTCACATGAACTGGTCTGAGTTGTGCACTGTGTCAAATGTAGCTATTCTCAATGAAGTGTGCCAAAATCAGAGTTCTGTTAGGCTTACCAGCTTCAAATCTGTGCTGGTATTTTTGAAGCTAGTGATTGGGGCTGGGGAGGGGGCACAGAGAAGAGTTGAGTCACTGCCCAGATGAGTTTGGAAACAACAATGAGCAGAAGTCATGGGAAGGAAAAAGGCAGTAATGTAGGAGGGACATGGAAATGCTGGGGACATGACAGATGAGAGGTACGGAAAGGAAAGGGGTAATACAGCAGGAATCAAGGAGGCAAGACACAGCAATCAGGAGAAAAGGGGCAGTGACAATGATTCTCATTCCAGTAGCTACAGAACAGTTCTGTATTTGAAGCTTTACATACATATTGTATGAGTGAAACAGGCATTACTAGCTGTCCTGGTTTCAGCTGGGATAGAGTTAATTTTCTTCCTAGTAGCTGGTGCAGTGCTGTGTTCTGGATTCAGTGTGAGAATAATGTTGATAACACACTGATGTTTTAGTTGTTGCTAAGTAGTGCTCATCCTAAGCTAAGGACTTTTCAGTTTCCCATGCTCTGCCAGTGAGCAGTGCACAAGAAGCTGGGAGGGAGCCCGGCCAGGGCAGCTGACCCCAGCTAGCCAAAGGGGTGTTCCATACCACAGGGTGTCATGCTCAGTGTATAGACTGAGGGGGGCTGTCTAGGGGGGGTGGATCAATGCTCGGGCATCGGTCAGCAGGTGGTGAGCAATTGCACTGGGCATCACTTTTCTTGGGTTTTATTTATCTGTTATATGCCTTTTCATTACAATTATTATATATTATTTTATTTCAATTAAATTGTTCTTAGCTCAACCCATGAGTTTTACTTCCCACTCCCCCCAGTTCTGCTCCCCATCCCACTTGGGAGGGAGAGGAGTGAGCGAGCAGCTGCATGGTGCTTAGTTACTGGCTGGGCTAGTGTAGAAATTGTGATTTACTAACACTGATGTCTTAATTTGTAAGATTTTTACAGATTACATACACACTGATTATCCTAAAGGAAAAGCACTAAAACAGGGCATGACATAAGTATTTCTACTGGAGATATATATGATATGTTGGCTATCAACAACTTGGTTCATACTTAAATCATACAACTAAATTTAGAACCTTACTGCATAAAAGATGAAGAATCTGAAGTAACACACAAGCACTTTAATACCCAGTATAATCTATTCATCCAGATCTCTCAATTTTTCAAATGCAGCTTTCTCGCCTCCATATCACCTGCATTACAGACTACATATTGAGCAGCAGCCTGGTTAATACCCCCTCATTTCCCACCCCCCACACTCGTGACTTAATTTCTCAGCCTGTGTGAAAATATTATTGGAGTAGAAAGTCTTATATCCCCCTATATTCTGAGAGGGCAGAAATAGTGCGGAACAGATAGAAGAGACAAAACAACAGAACAAAGCTAAGGTAGCTTTCTTAAAAATACATATCGATGCACATGGAAGTCACAGAACAGACTACGCTGAGAGAACTAATCCAGGTATTGCCTGACTTAACATGGAAGGGAGAACCTCTAAAAACACATGAACATGATATTTGACATTAAAGGTGAAACAAATGTTTTTTAAAAATGTAAATTTACTTTGTCTGCAGTGCTTTTATCATTAAAGTCAATCAACTACAAAACGTAAAATTTAATAAGAATGTAACCAGCTTGTATATCAACGTGAGTTCAGACAATTTGACATTTTGTGAGTTTAGATCCACTTAAAATACTTACCATACGTAATCTCTCTTTTTTCCTCTTCATCTACAGCTCTAAAAAGATGTGTAACATTAATCTGTGACACACCCATGGCAGTCTTCAGAATATGAGCCAAGTCCTCTTCTGTTATAGTTCCATTTTCTGACTGGTACAACTATGAATCAAGACAGCAAGATAAATCATTGCAAAGTTGAATGCTAACTTCTATAAACAGCACCATACTAAGAAGTTATGCAAAATTAAAATTTGGTATTGGAAATTCTAGTCACTCTCAAATTGATGTGGTCTACTAAGGATTTCTGATTAGTCAGGGTAAGATAGCATTGATTATTAATTCACCTCTGTATGCTTAGAAAGTAAAGCTATATTCAGAAAAAATCCCCTATGTTTACATGCCTAAACACTGGAATTTCAGTGATGTTCAGAGACAAGACTATTTAAGACTAACACGTTTTGCAGATATGTAACGGAGAATAATTTTTAGTCCACTGAGATATGTGTCTGAACTCCAAGAGAGTCTGTGGGATCAGGAGATATACTTAGGTCAGCCTAAAGCAGATACCATTTCCACTTGGTGAGATGTAAAACACAAGATTCCTTTAACCAAAATCCAACTGATTCGACAGCCAGTTTGCATAAAATGCCTATATCTAAATGGCATTGTATTAATCAGGAGAATTCTACCCCATACAGTGATGGGCCTATATTTTTCTACAACTACTTATTCTAGAAAATAACAACTTGCATATTCTGAAGTCCTGAAGCAAAGAGTTTCCTCACAGAAAGTTAGCTTTGCTTCTGACAGGATATTGATAACTCCAAATAATTGTTCATGGTCTTATTCTATCTTTGTATATGTACAGTGTTTTCCCCTGAAAAAAGGACCTGGTTATTTCACACCACCTGTAACAAATACAGCTTCATCAAACTTTCTAAAATAACTCAACTTTCCTGTGCAATGGGAATTGAGACAAAACAGTTTTTGAAACATCCTCGTCTTATTTTCAGGCATGACAACACTGCAAATACCGAACCATGTAAAAAATGCTATTTTGGAAACTTCGTTATAGTTTCTCCGTATCATTGAGAAGGTGGGAACTGGAGATTGAATAAAACAGGCATTTTTCACACAAACAGAAGTTGCTGTCATGAGACAGCACACCTCAGTGGAATAAAAAAAAATTTGAAGTTTCATGGAAGACAACATTCATGCTCAAATCGGGAATCTTGCCTTTTCTTCCCTAGCACCTAACCTGCACACTGTTTTACAAGTAGGGGCAAGGATAAGACACTTGTGTAATCAAACCTGTTATATTTTCACAGATCAAGTTGTCAGAAAGTGCTACTTGATGGTAAGAATCACAAGCATCATATTGGCAAGATTTACAACACCCTTTAGTTACCTTAGCAGTTAGGATGGGAGGATACATAGATAGTGCTTACACTGGAGTGCTGCTCTTAGACTTGTTTGCCACAATCCCCCCCTCTCTTTAAACTGCCCACCACTTTAGAACTCTGGTGGCTCAGTAACTCCTATTTTTCACATTTTTCAGCCATATACTAAACACTTCCACTTTGAAAACCTGTTCAGCTAGGTGAAACGCTGCACTTCATCCCTGAAAACAAAGACAAAGTGCTTTGCAAAAAGCAGCACATGGCAGAGGACAGCTCCTGTTCAGTCACACATTCATGAACTGGCTAGATCCTTCAATGGCTCCGAATAAGCTGTGTGAATATCTTCCTGTACAAGAACACAGGGCAGGGGAGGGAAGAAAGGACTAAAGAAAAAAAAAAAAAAAAAAAAGAGGGTTCTCCTCTTTTTTCTAGAATACTGTAAGCAACATTTTCTCAGCTCAAAACATTAACCCTTCCAATCATTACTAGCAGGATAAAATAAGCCACACCTGCTTCCCTTTGCTGACCGCTTCCCCTTCTTAATACATGCATAGAACTTCTTTGCAGTTCTACAGTTAACTTTATATTTTTCAATTTACCAGGGAACTCAAAATTATGTATTATGAGTTGAAGAATAGAGCAGATAGTAAAGAACAGCAATTTTCTAAGAAACACTTCTATTAATTTAAGTGCTTCCAAAAATAAAATAACCACCCAACCTGAGCATTTCTTCCTCTAAAATGGTAAAAGTATATTGTACATCATTCATTGTGACAGCTAAATTTCACTGAAATACTGCCCAAAAGCCACCTTCAAGTTTACTTTAAGCTTGTTCATTTTCAAATGAAGACAGAGCTAACCAAACAGCACTTCACCATTTCCCTATGCCATTATATAAATAAATGGAATAAGTAAGGGTAGAGACCTTCCTGCTTTTCCTTCAGAAGTAGCAGTAACAGCAGCTATTAGAGGCAGATTTCCCCCAATATTTGTAGGAACTAAATATTTTTGATCCTTCCTCCTTTGTCAAATGTGTTGGATACTGGCCAAAGGGTAGGAATGATAGGTATGAACACTAAACATTCACAGGAGCCTCATTTCTTTAGCAAAACATAGTTAAGAGAATAACACAGGTATGCTGAAGAACCCAAAAACAACTACTCTGAAAATAAGGCTGCCATGTAGTACCACACAATTGAATGTTCTCAACTCCATGCATTCAACAGCGAAGACAGCATCAAGAGTTAATACTTTTCAGTTTTGGTAACACTAAGGACCAGGTGAGTTCAAGGCAAGATGAAAAGATGATGCAGGTTGCAGCAGAGTTGAAATAGAAATATTAAAGAAATTAATTAAAAAGTAATAAAACAAGGTGTCAGACAAACCCGCTGGAATGGTAAATATTAAGTACTGCTGTTGTCACTTTCCCAAAAAGCCTGCATCAACCAACTGTGCTGATGCTACAACAAACCACTGAGGCTAGAACAAGACCGGGAGCACTTCTGGGAAGCAAAAAGTCTGGGCAGAGATGGCAGGACCAAAACGGTAAGACTAAGAGGGAAGAAAATCTTATTAAGAAGATAAAAGGGGGTAAAAAAAATTAATCTCTATTAACAGGTAGGAAATGTTTTTAAATATGTTATTAACTTGAAAAATAAGATTTGATTGAATCATTATAAAAGCAGTGAGGACAACTCATCAGCCTACAGTTTAAAGGAATCAATACAAAGGACTTCAGGTGTGAGACTCGATGTGCTGAAAAGGATTCTACCAGCATTCTACAGAGAGCAATTTCAAATTGCAAACTTCCATAATTTTACACAACTTAAACTTGCAATGCATTCACTCTTGAACACAACCTCTTAAATCTAACTTTCCATTCATGTTACTTTAAAATGTAATTAAGTATTAAAAGGGCATGTGAAACAAGCTTCTGTTAAGTCTCATGGCAGTATTAATAATTTCTAAAAATAGGTAAACTACATAGAAGAAGAAAATGCTGCTTACCTGAAATGCCAGCTGAATTGTTTCCAGAGTTTTGGATGGCTTACAGACAACTGACAGAGCAATGACAAATTCCCGAATGTCAATTATGCCATCTTCATTCTGTGAATGAAAACCTCACCTCAAAATACTGCAATTTATCTGAGAGTTTTCATAAATAACTAACAGTTGCTAAAGATGCAGACTATTCAGAAAGATCATTACATATGCCACTGCAAAAAAAAGTCTCACTGAAATGGAATCACATCAGGGCAAAAACCTGAGTCAAAGCTCTGCAGGCCCTTTTCAGAGGCTCAGTCAGAAGTCGTGATTCAAATATTCTTGGAAGACAGTACTGCTACTGTCACTCTTCACTTGCATATTTAAGATTTTTACATTAATCCATGTGAATTACTGGGTTGAAATTAAAATTGGAGAGCCAGAGGTAAGGTGGCCTAATTTAAGCCCTGAATACACCACATCTGCTCTTTGGTCTACCAGAGAACACTGTGAACACATCCATCTCCTGGTCCAAACAGCACCTCATCCAGACAAAGATAAGAGTCATTTCCCCTTTCTGACATTGCCAGAGGAATGAAGAACTGGCTCGTTTGACAAGTTCCTAAGTCCTTCAGGTTTCAAGCATCCCAGTGATTTATTTACAAGGCAAGTGAAATATCAGCTAATAGGTACTGCATTCAGTTGCAACAAGCAGCATCAGAGGTTTAGCCTGAACTCATTCTTCTTCCTCTTCATATTTGGCATCTAGAGGGAAAATCAGATTTGTCCGACTGACACTCCTTTTGAACTTCTATGTGAATTAATGCTTTATTTAGTTGATGATAGGTGCTCTTACCTTACTGAAAGGAAAATGCAGTAGGCAAATACTGTGGTGAAGTGCTCAAAAGCTCTTAGCACTGGCCTAAATCAGACCTCAGTGAATTCAACTGGAACAGAATGAGGCTAAGGTGGAATTTACCAAAAGAAGTACAATTTCTTACCTCATCAAAAAGAGCAAACATACTTTCTAATGTGTGAGAAACTGGAAATTCCAAGTACGCTGAAAATTTTTTAAGATCAACCTTTTCTTTTTTCATTTTCATGGCACTTGCAGCATATTTATCAAGATCATCTTCAAGTGTTTCTGGCTTCAGCCTAGAAAGCATATTATTTTTGCACATTTTAAAAATAAACCCTGTTTTAACAATACAATTTTCAATATAACAAATGAAGCATAGATAATTGATAATAATGGTGTAAAACATTACAAAATCTGGAATCAGAATTACTAAGCAACTTTCTTCCTGTAATTTTAAGGCTCCCATTAGTTCTTGAGCTGTACTGAAAATTACTGCAAGGGCTCAGGAACCCTCATCATAAGCTTGTGTCCTTTATTCTACCTTGATTATAAACCATATGTGTAAGCAGTTCATCATGAACAAGAAACAATCTAGAACTAGCTAATAAATACCAGGCATGGGGAAATAGGTGGGATCTAGGTCACCTGAATATGGCTGTATTGTAGGACAGTAACATAAACCAATTATGTTTCCAAATTTACTAATGTCACTGAACAGGAAATACTGATGAATCTTGCCTAAAAAAAAAAATCAGGGATTACATAAAAGCGATTATACTGTTAATCCTGTCTGTCAGTCCGCATTTTTCACGTTCAGTCTGGAGTTGGACACCATTATGACCCAAAGAAAGCTAGAGCAGTTAATATAGCTACAGAAATTCCCTCAGTCCCTCCAATTGCAAAACCAAATTTTGACTGATGAATGAACAGTGTTATACTTGTTATATTTATGCAGGTACCTACTGCATGGTGGTTGTTGCTTTTGGATTTTTTTGCGAAGTCAACCTTCCTGTTTACATTTTGAGAAAAAAATCTTGCTATGAATATAATAAATGGTATTGCAGGTATGTGGGGAAAAGTAAATTCCCTCCCTAATACAGCATCAACCAAATCTTGATCAGCAGGTTTCCTCTGAACTGATTTAGGGTAAGATGGGCATCCAGACTTTCCAGTCTGAACACAAAAGGCAGTGAAGTCTTCTGCAATACGCTCTTGCAGCTGTCTGTTTTGCTGTTTGCTGCTGCAGACAAGGAAAAGCAGTTATTTACAGAACTCACAAGCTCACACCAGAATTGTTCCCAGACTGCAGCTGGGACTCCTCAGCAGCTTCCTCTCAGTGACAAGAATGAATAAAATACTTAATATCAGCATTCTCAGGAGCTTCTGAAAAAAAGATAAGAGCATTTCCGATAGGAAGATTATCTGATACATCAGCTCCAGACCTTGAGCTCTTGCTGAAATGACCCTTCCTAAAAGTCACCGCTTTAAAATAAAAACATAACTACTATGTCTGCCATTACCTAAACTTACTTACCAAAAATGCACTAACTAAGCAACACTAAGCCCAGTATTTCTGAATTTTAAGACCTAAACATGCAAGAATTTTCTCAGAGACCCATGGCCTCTACAGAACAGTCGTATGTTCTCCATGTGGCATTAAAGCACCGGTCCTAAGTTTTGGTCATAGACAGTAAAAAAAGAGCAAAAAACCACTCCTCTGCAAACATTTCTTTTCCACGATCAAGTAGAAAAGTAGTAGGAACAATTACAAAGGAATCCATAGAGGATTTGAGATGCACACAGAACTCTGCTTCTCACATGCAGAATTACATGTAAGAAGTGTCCACAGATAATGTATCTGCACTGTAGCAGCTGAAACGGATTTGAACTGTAGGATGAGGACAGCTGGCATCTGAATCCTCCACTGAGATAAGCCACCACTGACACAAAATACACAGTCAAACATCTGTCTCTAAATCAGAGAAATTTGATTTGCAATGAATTGACTCAATATTCACCTTCTAGAACTGAGGGAGTACTCATTTGGCAAGTAGTATTCGAGACTTGTGAGATCCCCTCTTCACCCGTCAATTAAGTTCGAAAAGGTAAAAAGTTTGAAGGCAAAACCTTGTACGAAAAGTAGCATGTCTTACCACGAATCTTACAGACATCTAGTGGTTTGAGGTTTGTAAATATAGAAAGAGGTGTGAGCCAATCTCAAAAAGAATATGTGGATCAGTGAGGCAAATTTATTGCTTCAGCTTGAGTATGACTGCATTGCACTTCTGGTAATCCAAGGTGGGCTCAGTCCCTCCTAGCTCTTTCTCAGTCAGGAAGTAATTGACCTGTGCATAACCATGACCTACTATGCTGAAAATCTTTTGAGGCCAAACGTTCTAAATCCCACAAGAGGTTCTGAACCAATGTGAAATGGTTTTAATGTCTCAATTCCTTTAAAATTGTTACTTTTATCCCACTGGAGGCTATACAAGCTAGAAAGCCAACAGCGTATGTCTTTTGCTCATGACATTGTGCTTGTTTGCCCAATGGCTTCCATGTAGGATCTAGGCTTTATGATACATAGTATTATTTGCTGTTGTGGTGTTTTTCTTCATTTTTTAGGCCAGTGAGCACTAAAGAGAACTAAAAGTCATTCCCAAGTCCCTGAATACGGAAAGGACATTTTTCAAGAGTAACAGTGCTGAACATTAAATCCTTCACAGGGAAAACCAGATCCCTAAAGGTAGTATATTTTCAGCAGAATTACCACTATTTTTAGCAAGTGTGATGTCTTACCTCCTTAAAGCCAGTTTTAGCTGCATTTGACTATTCGAGAACAAACTCCTTTCTTGCATGTTGGGACCCTGCCAAAAACCTTCTAGTGTCTCTCAGAGCTGGAAGTTGTGTAAGAACAGATGGATCTTGTAGCTAGCTACTGTGAACTCCAAGCTCAGAGAAATATGCCCCAATCACAAAACAATCAGTTTTATGTCTGCTGATGTATTTCTGTGCAACTTTTTGTCATAATGGAGAAAGGATATTGAACAGCTGCAGAACTGACCGTCCGAATACTTTGGCTATCATGGTTGGTATTTGCTATGTTAAGCCTGATCCGTGATCGCCTCCTGTAACAGACAGTATTGCTTTTACCACAGATACAGATGGACATCCTCCACAAGGCTTTTTCTTATTATAGATGATCTCTGAAAACTCTGAAGTCATAGCACTGTTAGTTACCTGTGAGGGGTTGTTAATTTGGGGTTGCAAAGCTCTACCTACAGTCTGGACCACCATTTCAGGCACACATGGACAGCAGAAGTTTGCATTGTAGTCTGGATGGTAAAGGCTGTTGAGCAAGAATAGAGGCACCAGACCTGTGAGGTAATTATCTCCTTGATAATTACCTGGTGCCTCTATTCTTACGATCTGTTCTATAGGAGCACTGCCTAATAGGATGCTCCTGGACAAGTGGACGAGATAATATTGGAGAGTAGAGGTCAAAACGTAACTGCTGTTTAATCCAGGTCCTTCTTACCAAAATACTATGGCTTTTAAGAGAGAGCAGAATTGATTCAACACAAGTAGGTTTACTAACACTGAATTTCACCAGGGCCAGGGAACATATAAGGAGGTAAACCTTGCACAGGTTGCTTTGCTAAGGTTGTAGAACATTTTTCCAGTGCAAACATCAATAGTGCCCATCACATGGGTACAAGACACCAATAATACTCAGGCTCAGGAAAGCAAAGGAGATGGTTAAAGATCCAAAAAGAATTCCAAATAAATTGCTGCACATTGTTAGAGATAAAAATTACCAACTAAGAGTAACCCTACCAAGAAAGCTAAGAATGCAGAAGGCAAGAACAGGGGATTTTTCTGAAATCTGACCTGAAAAAGATGATTTGGTGCAAAACACACCTTTTAAAAGAGGTGGACATAATCAGCAAAGCCATACTGTCTTCAGTGAGAAGTTCAAAGAACCTCAGAGTCTGTGTACTAAATGCATACACCAGATCAAGGACCTGCCAAACCAAAGGGTCTTGTGCTACATGGACACCAATAATAAAATGCATATTCACCAGGATACTGTATTATGTTCTTGCTGTACTTTCCATACTTATTGTTTTTTGATGCACAAAGCAGAAGCCAACTACCACACTAGAATAGAAAATATGCCATCTTATACAAGCATCAGTGCTGTTTAGTCTCCCCCCTCAAAAAACTAAAAAAATAGGTGAAAAACCTTAATTTTTAAAGAATATTTGCCAAAAAGACTTCAAGAGAATTGGAAAAATTAAAAAGTAGAAAACAGCGACTAAGACAGAAGAATGTGAGACACATCCACACCCCTGCTAGACAGTCCAAATCATACCTGGGGTTTTAAATGTGAAAGATAAGTGGGAAAAAAACAACGGGGAAGCAATTAAGTAAATAATGCAGTAGTAGACTACTGAAGGTTAACAAATTGAAAGGCAGACAAAACAAGGGAAGAGATCATTAAAAAAAACAATAATAAAATCAAGAACAGGGTAAGCAAACAGCTGATCCTTAATCTGGCTAGAAGTTTGATGAGGCTGTCAGTACTTCCATTCCTGCCCTGTCCCTCCCCCCCCCCCCTAGAATTACTTGAGCAAAATTTCAGTTTACATTAAGATCTGATTTTATAAGCCTCATCCAACAGTAAGCGGAACAGAATCACCAAAAAATTTCTCTTTGGATTGCAATGTGCTACATTTGGCTTTTTTTTCCCCCCAATTTTCAGAAAATAAAACAATTAAAACTGAAAATAATCACAGCTAAAAAAAATTAGAAAATCATTCCATGGCCTAAAAGCCACAGTTCCATAAGACAGGGGAACAACAATTAAGGCTGGAAGGTCCTTCTAGTTCATGGGCAAAGTGAATGCAGAAGTCTGAGACAATAGGAACAAATCAATTCAAATCAAAACTTAAGGACCTCCTTGCTGGCAACTGCCTGAAAGCAGCTCATAAGAAGCATCTCATAAAAAGATGGAGATGAGACTTAATTATACTGTGTTAACACTTTCTGAAGGAGAAGATATCTGAAGAGGTCTTTAATAGGGCACAAAATTCAAACAAGCTTCCATGCCTAGAACATGGTAATAGATCTAGTCAAAGTACAAATACAAAAATCACTTGAAACAGTGAGGTAATTAATCATGGAATCATCACATGAAGCAGAGGATGTACAATGTATGAAAGCTGCAATGAAGATTGCATAGAGCTCAGTCATCAGCTCATTGGCCAGACATAGATTATCAGGCCCAAGAGAAGCCTAACTGCTCGAGGACTAATGAACACAGAATTTGAGAAGATGAGACTATGATCAATTGATGTCATCAACACAGCAGTCATTTTACCACAGAGTTCAGTATGAGGCAGCTGAGTTTCAGCCAGCTGTGACCTGGCAGTGGAGCCTGCATGGCTTCTGGATTGGTTCCCATCTAGCTGAGCACAGACTGAGCAAATTTTACATACAGTGTTAATGAATCCTGTAGATACGCAACATGAACAGAAATAACTCTCCAGTGTAGCAAACTGAGGTATAACTTGGTTTCAGAGAATCTCTATCAAAACCAAGCCTGGATCTGCCTTGCTATAATAATCTTACGTTTAAAACTGGATGTTATCTTGAAGGTATGTTATTGTTCAAAACCAAGTATTAAGACTGGATGAAAAATCCGTTGGATAAAATTTACTGTTCCAGTTATTTAGGGATGCAACTGGATGATTTTAATGCCACCTTGTCCTCAAAACCTTTGAATAAACAGCAAAATGACTGCATCGCCATCAAGCATGATTTAGAGATGAAGTCATATTACAATCTTCATCCAAATATGCCAGAAAAATACCATTGTAATAGCCTTCGTACTGGCACATATCCAAATCAAGACAGGATAATATTTCACCAATGTACAATTGCTCAAACCAGGCAGAGAGCTTCTGGGTTGTGGAGAACCTCACTCACAAATGCACATAATTGTTTTAGAGGTGAAAACAAAAACCCAAAAAAGCATAAATTGAAAGAACAGCTTTAAATTGAGCAGACAGAAGTCAGACAATTTGAAAGGATTAAAACTGAATCCCAGGATTATCAACTGCGTAATAAGAGACATGGGTGGTTTTTGGGGTTGTTGGTTTGGGTTTTTTTGTTTGTTTGTTTTGGGTTTTGTTTTGCTTTTTTCTTATTACTGTAAATTCAGAGCCTTTGGAACAAAGCAGGAATCTTTGTTTCCCCTTAGAAGTCTCTCCTATCCTACTGGAAATCTTTTCAGGTGGATGTCCTGACAATGTATTAATATATGCTTGTCATATGTATGCATAATTTATGCTGTCCTACATTACTCATTCTTCAATAGATTGATCTTTTTTTTTTTCATTTATGTAAACAAGCTGGAAGATGACGGAAAAATTAGTGAAAGAAAATAAAGTACAGAATGGAAACACGAAACTCTGCTCTATACTTTCAGGTGAGGAGACAAAAATGGAAAAGGGTGGTTTATATTAAAGCAGTTAATAGGATGAAGTTGTAAATTTAGTTTGTGGTTGTTCAATAGGATGAGAGCAGAAACGAGAAAAACTGGAAAACAGCAGCAAGAAGTTCTACTATTTGGTTTTTGTGATTTTTTTTCACTGTTTGCTGAAGCTTTTCTGAAAGGTAAAGCCAGAGGGAAGCGAAGTGATGAGAAGAGGAGTCACACTGCATATACTAAGCTACAGTTTCATTAGAAAGTCCATTTAGCAGTAGCCTACTCAAAAGATCAACCACTTCTTTGTGCTTTTTGGGAAAGAGTGATCCCCTTTGCCCTCACTATTATAACGTTAATCCAGCCACAAGACTTCTATGGCATCACTGTTCTCCCTTCAGAGATGTCACAAGAAAGGGCAATTGACTCTTAACTGTATCAAATATTAGGAATCCCACAGTATTCGTGACCCTCTTCATGAGGTATCTTCTAGTCTTGTTCAGAAATGAACACTTCAGACACACTCCGCTCACTTGTCAAGACTGAAAATATTAATTTTACAACCTATGCTCCTCATTAGGATATAGGGGTGTTTCTTGAAAGTGCAAGTGGAGAACAGTATTGGTTTAATTTTCAAATAGTGTTTCCCAGATTGTAATATGACAACATATCTTATATAATCATAAATCTAATATTGCTATATGAACGGAAAACTACATACACATTGATATATAATATGCACCTTACATATAAATGTTATATATGCTCACCCAAGGCTTCTCACAAGCTTTGCAAATTCTAAGAGACATGTGTCTGAAGGCAGACGAAGTTGTCCTTCAGCCAAGGCTAGCTGACAGTCTTCAAATGTATAGTCTGTCACTGAAACTCCCAATGCCCTTGAATAAACCAAAGAAACACAGTAAGCAAGATAATCTAAGAAAACTGAGCAGAATCATCACTTTTTATTTTATAGCAAGAAATCCTGTAACAATTACACTCTCTGTTCTGAAGAACTATAAGGAAGAGCCCATAAAAGAAAGTTCACATACAAAGAATGAAATATGGTACTCTACCCATTGCTATTTTGACTTCACAATACATGAAAATACAGAACACAAGGGAAAAAGTAGGAAGTGCATAGACTTTCAAATTCCTTAATATTTTTATAGAAGTGAATAACAAGGGTTTCAAAACTGTTAATTTATAGAAAAAATAACTATTTATTATGTTAAATATTTTAATTATTTTTACACTAACATATTAATAAATCAATAATCACCTGAGCAGAACAACTACTACTTTGAGGTAATACTAAAATTATACAACAGGCAACAGCTCTTTATAAAGAATGGCTAGAACATGAAGTGTAAAAGTAAAAAGAGTTAAACTCCAAGCAAACACAAGTTATTTGTAAGTGTATGACATAAGAAAGGTAGAAGAAAAAATACTCCCAAGATTTTATGTGCCAATCAATTAAGTCCTCATTTTTGCTTTGCTTCTAACTTGATGCTCTTTAGTTAGAGCAGCACCAAAAGATACTTCAAGGAAATCCTGAAATTGTAGTTGCACTGCATTGGCTATGCCAAAGTTGAGATAAAGACACTTTGGTTTGGAAGAGGCCTTTAAGAACTCAGTGTACAAACATAAGATGCAATTTATAAAGCACTCTGCTCCATGAGTTACTCATCTGCCATGTTTTCCATTATACTTGAGTTTACTTATATTAGTACTGAAGGTTATCTCCTTTGCGCAGCCTTCTCTAGTTTGAAGTCTTCAGGTAATTTTTTTCTTGACTTACCTTCTTCTACAGGTTTTTCTACCTTACTACTAAACACCTTTTTCATTACAGTAAATGGCAAGACTGATACAAAGCCCTGAGGCATGCCACAGTCACTTTGGTTTTGATGAAAACTCTGCATTCAATTCTACGCTTTATTATAGACAATTTGATTTGTAATGGCAGTTACCTCTCATGAAATAACCACTTAATTTCTGTTAAGTAGCCTCTTCTCCAGAATCTCGTTACAAGGCCTTTGAATGCCAATGTAAATAACATAAGCCAGTTCTCTTTTATCCACCAATTAATTGTCAGACTTCAGGAATTCTAATACGTTAGTGAGACATGCAATTAAAAATAAAGCTACTGATCAGGGTTTCTCTCTTCTCTCTAAGGCTAAGAAAATCAAATATTCAGGAAGAACACCTCACTAATATGTTAAAAAAGTAGATATTATTTATAAGCTAATTATGAATAAAACAAGGACACAGAGGGTAGTGATTTTGGATGAACAGCCTCTCCCCCTGCAAGAAGAAACAACAGGAAGGAACAAAAGGAAAAAGCCAACTAAACCAAATAGATAGAGGTACATTGAAAAAGCATCTTAAAACTCTGCAGACTGCTGAAGCCTAGATTGTCTCTCATGGGTGATTCTAAGCAACTAAATTTAGTTCCTCACAGTTTTTTACTTGATCTGTTTCTGTTTCATCCCTCTACTCCTATGAAGAGTCTCCTAGTAGTATCAATATCTCCTAGCAAATCAATAAACCACCTTAATGGAATGGACAAGAGGTTCTTGTGATACTGTATTTCATCCCATAGACTTATTGTTAACATTGTAATGAATGTTGTGTAAAATCCATATGAAATCCCCTACACTGTGGGGACTTAAATCAATTTCCAGGTTCCACCTGACTCAGAGATGAGGTATTACAGGTCTCGTCCACACTTACATGGTATTCAATATAGCATTAATTATACAATATTAAATCATTGGTATTATACAATACAAAATACAGTTTCCTTGGAAGAAAAAGGGGTGGATGAAAGAAGGAGAGTCTATCCTGTCAGTTTAGATTACTTCATATTCCCTCCTTTTGTTCTGTGTGTACACTAGATCATCCTTGTAAACTTCCCTGTCAACTGTCAGTGAAATAGCTGAACTCCTGAGGCAGCAAGGGCACGCTATAGGCAGTACTATCCACAGCTGCTTACATAAAAGAATGTGGTAATAACCAAAGATCTTGTCCAGCCAGGCACATTACATCAAATTTCATCAAATCTTAAGGCAACAGTAGGTATAGCACACAACAGAAATACAGGAACTTACAGGCGACCAGCTGAAGCATAGGGCAACTACACAGAAAAGAGGAAGCTGGTTAAAAATAAGTTAAAAGAAGAAACTGAAAGGACAATGTGTTCATTTGTGGTACAAAATGACACACCATATTAGGGAATTGGGAGAAGTGACAAGACACTTATCAAAAAGATTCTGAAAGGACAAAAAAAATACCCAGTCTGACTCAGCAACTGATTAAAGGTGGCAATTAGAACAAAAAGACTTTTTCTTAAAAAAAACCCCACGTTATTTCAAAGAAAACAGAGAAGACAGACAAGTTGAAACATAACCATGAGGTGGCAAGCCAAAGCAAGAAACAATAGCTTGTTAAAACTGAAAGCTAGAAGCTTTTCAAGCACATCAAAAGAAAGATGACTAAGATCAGGCCACTCAACCTGGGGGAAGGGTAGAAGCCTGACTGCCATCCCAGAAACAAAACCACATTGAAGTAACTTCTGAACAATGGTCCCCACACATGTTGAAGGAGCCTAGCCAAAGAGGAATTAAATCAAAACCAAAACAAAAAGTAACAAACAACCAAACCCAAATTTATGATACAGAACGAAGTTTAAACAAAAGCAGGGATCATCTCAGATTCAGACAAATCATAAGGGGAAAATACAACCTGCACCTTTTTGTAGCTGTGTGCACCCCTACAGAAGGAGTGGCATTTGAGCCAGACTTAGTGTTATCAGAACAGGAAAATTCCCATTATAATTAATGCCTGCATACATGCCCAGTGTCAACACATGCACACAAAACAGGATTGAGAAGGATAAAAGCATCTTCTCTTGCTCACCTGTTGGCAATCTTCCAGCCTTTAGATTTCCCAAAAAAGTAAAATTAACCAAAACAGCATGTTTATATATACATCCGGACTTTTAGAATTACAAAGATCAGAAGTAAAGAAGGGGAAGAAACAGCTTTTGTTCACAGTAAAGTTCAGTCATAGGGTCAATCAAGGCCAGATGAATTAAGAAGTTCAAGGGGGTCTCCAGTTCAGAAGATAAAACACAAGCTGTATAGGTCTAGCAGTTTAACACAAAAGGACCATGATTTCAGCTCAGAATGTTGAACAAACTGAAGCTGGGGAACAAAGTTCATTATTTGTGCTAAGACTGAATGTTTCAATTTCTTAGAATAAAGACTGGCGTACTAGATTTCACTGTAAAGCCTGGGTGCAACTACAACTCACAGGATTTTCTACAGAACCTATCCTAACTTATCTCCAGGGCAATCTTTCTCTACTTCAAGTGCTAGGAAGAAAAAAAAAAAAAAAAAAAAAAATCAATTTGAGACACAAATTGCAAGTGCAACCCAAATTTTTAAATAAACTAGGAATATAACTGCTTTTCCCAAATTTTAACTTGGAAGTATTTGTTTTGTTTCCCCACTTTTCTTCATACTACCTCTGCTTTCACAGTCAGTTAACCTGAGCCTGGCCTTTCTAATGTTCAGCAATTTTATGTGGCCAGGCGTACATGTCTGGCTTGACATACCTTGAGACTTTTTCCCTCCCTACCTTCCCTGAAATGCTGAGTATTTACCTTTCATGATATCAAACCACATCAAATTCCAAAGTCAGCAAGTCACTACAACAAATTGAAACCAAATTACAGCCAAACAAAAACCCAAAAGCCTTCCTGCAAAGCCAATCTGTTACACACAACAGTTGTACTTGTTATATCCTGACTTCTCACACCAGGCAGCTCCCTATGTCTAACACTTGTGCAGTCATAAAAATAAATTATCAAGTTTCTCATTTTCTGCATACCAATCCACTACACATGCAAAATTCTGAACATAGAACAGAATGTGACTGCTGTAATATTATGCAAAGTGAGAGAAAATAGTACCGGCAATATTGTGACATTCTGAATCGACACTTCAACAAAAACATTTTCAAAATGTTTTACATTGTTAATAAGCAGAACTGTGAACTAATCTAGAAAATATTCCACAGGCTGCTCAAAAAACCCCCGTTAAATCAGCTATAATCTTTACAGGGTGCTGAAAACATTAGAAGGATATCAAATTTGGTATTTTACTTCACTATCAGATGATTGGGAAAGATATACAAAACATGGTGGACAAATAACACCAGCTTCTAGTAGTTATCTGTATAGGAACTTCCTGGACCAGACACTGTTTGTACCACATTTTTTACAGTATAACTCAGGTTTGATGAATTAATTTTATGCATCTGGTACCGAACGTCACAATTTTGTATATGCTTTAAAGAGTACTTCCATTTACTTTCAGCTGATCTGCTGTTGAGTGCTTTCTATCGCTTCTGCTACAAAAACTAACAGACTTTCCTTACTATGCATTTCCAGAACACTCATGATTTTACTGTCCTTCAAAGCAATCCTCCACTTTTCCATACGCCCCGCTCCCCCCCTTTCTTTCTTTCTTTTGCAAGCTGAAGAGCTTTCACCTATATAGTTTTGGAAGGCCAGGATAGATAGCCCCTTTTCTCTCCTTGGACAACTACTCCTATTCTGTGACATTCTCCAAGCAAATTAAGGTCCAGCCATATGAGTCTGGAGTCCACATCAAGAATATAGTATCACATGATGGTTTAATTTTTAGACAAAAAAAGAAGCTGCCAACAGCTGCATTTATCCTTTGTGTTAAGAAAATGTGTCCTGTAATGTCAGTCTTTGTAGGCTTGTGTATCACAAATCTTCAAGGGGTGATAAATGAAGCAGGTTCTCTGTGTTGTCAGCATTCAAATATCTAGCTGAAACCAGACTGTTGCGAAATATTACTTAACTTTA